TATATTAACTCATAATTCATGAAACTTAAATTAAAACGTGTAAATCAACACGGTACATATAAATTAATGTAAACAGCAATTTAGTTAGCGATAATGATGTTTTATTGAAAAACTTCTGCCGCTGATTAAGATTAGTTCGCGACTTGTACAATAATTTAGATTGAGCTGTGATTCCGTACAGCGTGTAGCTCTACAAGAATACCTTTCACCTAACATAATTTGGATACGGCATATTAAAATTGTATCTGTTATACATGTACCTTAGTTTTTAAATAAAAAAAACATTATCATAAGACAAATAACGCATACTTTATATCAAATATTACTATTGTTTTTTCATAATGATTTAAAAATTAACTACTTACCTTTTCTCTTTTACGCCACCTCAATACAACATGATACTTATATTACATTAATGCATTAAACAAATAATAAATTGGCTCATCCATTTTTCGTTGTTTCAAGTATGTTTGAAAGTTTGCAAGGTTTAATATCTTAACACGGTCTGTAATGAGCCGCTAATGAATTAAGCTCGACTGAGAGGTGAAGATAGCTGGCGTTTACATACGGCGCGGCGTACTTAAAGTGTTTACGTCTTGTTACTACTACATATATTAATATAATTATATCAACTACGTATATATATAACATATGACGGTTTGTAAAATTGTTATACCAAACTATAAAGATACTTGTGGGCAATAATTTATTCGCTTTACATAGTGTACACTTACAATGACCTCAATGTTTAGTCGTCAAATGTTATTGTTCTTGTACAAATCTAAAATATAAAATTCTTCATTGTCACTGGGTAAGAAAAATATTAATTGAAATAAAAATGATAAAACTGCAATAAGTTATACTTTTTTACAAGCGATGTTATTTTTTATTCTCGACAAAACAGAGTAGCGCCCTCTATTGAACGATCTTTTGAATTGCTTTCTGGTTAATAAACACAAATAGTATGGACGGAGTGAATATATTATGGAGTACCTATATAGATTTAATAAATTAAACTTTAATAAAAAAATATTTTGTTTAAAAAAAAACCGGAAAGGCTATGATTAATTATAAGCGTTTAAATTTTTTTAAAGATGACTTATTTAGTTTCTTCGTGTTTTTATGAGAAAATTACCGTACATACGGTGAAGTTGCCTAAAGATGAAAAAACGCAAGGTTGCCTATATTTATCTGGTCTAACTACTGGGTTGCACGTGTAAGCAGGTAGTAAATTAATTAGAAAATTGTTTCATCCATTAACCATAGGTATGTGAGAACGACGATTTTACTTCAGATCTTAGACTAGTTATAGCAATCAAAACTGCCTTTGAAGCCCAAAATATTGATTTAAATTTTCTTTTTATTAAGTTTCTTAATTATGCTTTCATTATTTACAATAAGTTATTAAACTAACAAGAACTTCGTCATCTATACGTGGGCTAAGAGCTTGACACTTGAGCTTTAAAGTAATTGGTTTATTAGCACTTTATGTTAATTATTCGTAATTTCAATATGAAATTTTAAAAAGCGAGCGTCACGCTATCAATAGTCTATATAGAAATAGCCATGTGTCTATGATACCCAAAATTTATATAAATCCTAATGATAATGAAAATGAAAATTACGTAACGGTAATGAACAGGCGGATAAAATAAACGAAATATTTTTGATTTATAATTTTCTTGAAGCATTCGTTGTTTACTTGTATAAGTAACAATTCAATATTTATTATTATGATTAATGACGATTTATTAATTAATAGATTTGATTGACTTATACGAGGTGGAAGTGCGGTAGTAGGTAATTCATATAGTAAGGTTAACAGATCACTTTCCAACGGACACTTAACAAACTATGACGTATGATTTTTCTCTTTTGTTTTCAAACTGTTGGATTCAATTGGTCCACCTTCCAATAAATCAAGAATCAATGATATTTTCCACATTATTTTGATCGATCTTTAAGTAGCTTTTTATTTTATTCGTTCCAATTTTATATTATAAAACTTGCCTTAAACTAAATTTTACATGCCATAAGTACAATTGTACATGTTTTCATTAACTTTATAAGTGAAATTTGTAAACTATCTAATACTTGTTCTTCCGCGTGGACCATTATGTTTAGAAAGAATTGAACAATATGTGCTTAAATAAACGAGACAATCTGACAGCGCTATCTGTTATGTGTCGCGTGACTGAATATACAATGGCGCAATCCCGCGGGGAATACTTGAATTAATTACAGCAATGTTTTTTTTAATCTTTACGCCTTCATCCAATTAGGTTTTATCAAAATCAACTCATAAGCCAAACACGAAATTAAACAATCTTATAAAAAATACCCTTTTATTTAACAATCAACAAAAACCATATATACATAAATTCTCTTATGTTATCTATATATACACATAACATACATACATCATAGCGGGAATATGTAAAAAAAAAGAAACAATATCATTAACTTTTTTATAACAAACATTATTAATGATCACATTTTAATTTATGTTACACATAAACGAATATATGATAAACTGAATTATTGGTTTTGTTATAATAAACAAATAAAAATACTTCTACGTACATATATTATGCAAAATAAAAGAAAATAGATTCCAAACCAAGTAATTTATCTTAAACTAGTAGACCTGGTGAACTTCGTATCGCCCTATAATCAAGAAATATCTATTACGTTTTTTTATTTATATTTTAGGAGTTTACCTGTAAGCCATAAATCTGCGTGTTTTGAAGTGCGACAGAATGATTGACATATTAGTTGTCAAATCTTATGTCAAAAAAAATGTTTGTATGGGAAATAGAAAAGGGCTGTTTTTATGGTTTTCCCAGTAGTGAATCAATTTTTTTCAGCTTTTATACCTTCCCTGAACCTCCACGAACATTTCAAAACTAAGATAAGATAAATCCGTTCAGCTGTTCTCGAGTTTTAGCGAGACTAAGGAACGGCAATCCATTTTTATATATATAGAAGATTTATACTTCAAAAAATAAAACTCTCAAAAGAAAAACAAAAAACATACTATTTTTCGTTATATTTGTAAATATATTTGAATACTCCGGCTTTACATCACTTTATTCATATCTTGAACTAAGTTCAATATAATAATATCAAAGCTTATATAATAAAATATTTGGTGTCACACATAGAACCCAGCATCTAGTTATGTTATGAAAAATGTACACTAAAAATATAAAATTATTAAAGAAATAAGCCATAATAAAATTACCAGCTACATATGAATGTTTGAAAAAACGTTATATAGTGATTTGTTCGTAACAACACAGACATACAGATGACACATGTTAAGTACATTCTCATATAAGTAAGGAACAACTATATATTAAATACATTTATTTTCCATTTACGTATAGAATTTATGAAGAATCATATAAAAAAAACTTTGTACAATAAAAAAGTTTATTATTGAAAACAAAATGTGCAAAAATAAAATTAATAATATATTTTAAGTAACTAGATACAGTCGAAAACAGATATATATGTACATATTTTTAAAATAAATTTCTTTTCATATACATATATTTTCCATAATTACAAAATAATCACAAATTATTACATATATTTCTACTGGCTTACACAGCAAAAATATATCTTCACATGTTTAGAACAAATAAGATCTCAACAGATAGACAAACGTGAGAATAACGCTTAATCACTTGAAATAACAACACAACGCATAATGTAAGCTTGTAAAATAGAAATTAAACTATTACAAGCAATAGCTATTTAAGAAATTTATAGCATTTAAAAGAACAAAGAGGCAGTTTATTGAAGAAACAGATTGTTTACAAAATTTATCTTGTTACGTTGGCAAAAGATATTTTGAATACCGAAGTTTGTTAGTGAACTATCGTGTCGGTACTCGGGTGATCGATTTACCACACAATTAAGCTTAATCGCAAATTTTGCTATTAAAATAATTTTGTATTATAGCTTTAATTCGCGAATTTGCTTATTAGTAAAGGCTTTTTACTAAAATGTGTCATATGTTACTATGTGACAAAACACGATACATATAGTAAAGCATTTATTATTTATTCTTCGCTTAACAAAATTACGCTTAACCGAACTATTACGTCCGCCCTACTGGTGTGTATTTTCCTCCCACATTCCGCGCCATAGTGCTCATGCACTTGTCGCTAATTATAAATGGTATTCATATGTCAAACATCGCCTTGTTGTTTTGAAACACAGCCTGAACGCGATTAATGCCAAATATATATCCATAAAGAACCTCCTCTATTTTTTAGGTGGTAGAGCCTAACTGTGGTCAATTACTATAGCTCGAACGTGGGTTGGCTCGATGGGGGAAATACACCTTCTCACTGAAATTGGGGTTTGAATAAGTCTTTAATGGCTGCGTTTCGTCCAGTGAGTGAGAGAGCCGTTTGTCTTATCCTTTTTCCCACTCTTTCCTCTCCCTCCCTTTCCCACCTTTTCCTTTTTCCCCAATCAAGGGCGGCAACACATCCGCAAATCTACGTTGCGGATGTTCATGAGCGATGGTACTACCTACATCTGGTAGGCCGTCTGCTTGGTTGACCCCTTTTCCCATAAAAAAAAGCAAAGCCAAAGCGTGTCCTATCCGCTCGTCAGCAGGCATTAGCTTCAGCAGACGAAGATTTAATATTTCCTCAAGCGTTTATTATACCGATTTTCCAAAAATACCCGTTTTTTTAAATTTACATCCCCTAAATAATTGTGATAATAAAGACTATCGCATTACAATGAAGGCGATGACTGATAACTTTGGCCTAACAACTAATGCGAAAATTTATGCCATAAAAATATACTATTTAAGCGTTTAGTGAAATATTTATCAACAAGAAATAACACTATTTGTGATTCCCAAATAAAATTTATCCTTAACCAGAAGTTATATCCGACACCAGACACACAAAACTTTTACACCTTTATATCTATACGATATCATGTCATGGTATCATATCATATCATGAATGTTATCATGCGAGTGTGACTCTCTGTCGGTCCATGTGTTGCGTCAGTCGCGTCTGTTGTGGGGACAGCGGCTCTCCGCGGAAACGACGATAGCTGGAAAACAATTAACACTTATAGTAGTGTAGTAGGAGATATGATTAATTAGTAGTAGGAGAGTGACGTCACTTAGACTCATCTTTTGGATCAGTGCTGCGTTTAAATGAAACTTATATTTTTCAGATGTACTACATACGCGTTTTATCTATTTTAAACTTCAAACTACATACGTCTGCCTAAATTAACGCGTAGTAAAAAATATATTAGTTTTACTAAAATGAATATTTACGAAAGTCGTATACTCCGGCCACATTCGATCTGGAATTTTAGTAAACAAACCATGAGTCATCATAATTAGGGTTGATACACCCTTAATAAAAAATAATTATTATTATAATTAAAACTATATTCATTATAACACAATTTCCTGTTTAAACACAAAATTTTAATTTAATATAGAATCCAAAAATTTTATTTAGCCGGTCAACTCATAATTTATATGAAAGATTGCTTAAAATAAAAGTTTAAAAATCTTTAATTACCACTATAATATTACTACAAAACAAACAACCCTATATTTTAATACTGACGTAAAGAAATCGAGGGTTTGTAATATTTGCAGTGTTTTTTAAGCAATTAGTTAAGCCATTCAAATATACATAAAAATTAATCTAAATGAGTCCTGTCGTTTGGGAGGCGATGGATAAAGTTAATAAAGCGAATTATATACCTACGAGGTAATTTCTGATATAGTTTTAAAATTTGGAGGTATTATTTTTGACATCTACATTATTCCAGATGATCGTAAGTATTATAATTATAACCAAGAATGCGCTTAGTCCTTTGTCTTAAATATTTTATTATTAATCATCAATTTTAATTTTCATTAACATCAAAAATAATTGGTGTACATATTTCTAAAAATGTTTTGAGCATCTGCCCGACGTTGGTTGCTAAGCAACGCTTTGTTATTAAACTGTCCACATCGAATTTGGCTGGAGTATATATATGGAGTATATATGTATATTATAGATATCATTAAGTACCGTGTTCTTGTATAGACACTTCTAGTAACTTCTATAAGTATCTTAATTGTAATGAGATCTAAGACTTTCGCGAGTTTTATTTATTAAAATGAAACTAATTTTTTTCGGATATACTACGCGTGCTTTATATTTGCAAAAAACTACATACGCCAGAAAATTAAGATATCTATGGCGGTAGATGATAAATAACAAGACCAACTGATAGACATTCATCTCGTCTGCCCGTGATCATGGTTGCTGAAAAGTATCCGAAACGTAATGAGTATGTAGTTTTTATCAAAAACAAAGCACGGGAAGTATATCCGCAAAATATTAGTTTCATTTAAATATGTTAATGATGTGAGAAATGTGTATATAGACCTTAATATATATAAACTATATGTGTATGTCTATATATGTAGTATACTCACATAGTATCGTAGTACAGTCTCTGTTCGTGTGTAAGTGAGGGCGAGGTCTCTGTCAGCGCGTCCTCCAAATCCTCCTTCAACACTACCACCGACTCCAGGGTTTTGTCGTCACTCGCCGCCTGTTACGGAATTATAGAATCACATTTATAATTTTGTTAATCTAAAGACATATTTCTTTACATAATTCCGAATTCACAGCGATAAAGCTCTTATTATTGATGCAATTATTAATTATTAATTCACAGCGATAAAGCTCTTATAATTTATGATTTTTTTTTTGATTATATTACTTTTAATATTAAAACGATGCTACTGTTTTGTATTATAGATAATGTTATGTAATAAGTTGTATATGAGTCATACTAATTGTTTCTCGAGCCTGGTCAGCTGCGCCGTCACTAGCAGTGACTTGAGGTCAGCGGCGGAGTATCCTTCAGTACATGATGACAACCATGACAGATCTACTTCCGGTGACAGAGACACGCTCCTTGACAGACAGCGGAGAACCTCCACACGGTCAGCCTGAAACGACAACATAATTCATAAACAATGATATTGTGAAAGTTATTATCATCGAATAAAATTAAACTGGGATGAAGGTGAAAATGCAGACCTTAGAGAACCACAAACAGTACATTCGACTATAAAGAGAAGTCATATTAAAGGAAAAATAAAATAGTATGTGGTACAAGGTCCATAGTAAGTGGTACAAGGTTCATAGTACGTGGTACAAGGTTCATAGAACGTAGTACAGGGTCCATAGTACGTGATACAGGTTTTATGGTACGTGGTACAGGATCCACACCTGGTCTGGCAGACCGCAGTACAGATGCAGCATGAGCCGGCCGGGTCTCAACAGCGCCGGGTCCACGAGGTCCGGGCGCGAGGTGGCCGCCAGCACGGGCCCGCGGGCCCCGCCCTCCGCCCCGTCCAGCCGGGACAGCAGCTGGTTCACCACGCGGTCCGTCACACCCGTCGAGTCGTGCCCGCGTCTATAAACACATATATTGACATATAAACATATATATATATATATATATATATAATTCTTCTGTGAATGTGTATGTCACTGAACTTCTCTCAAACGAGTGGACCGATTTTGATGAAATTTTTTGTATGTGTTCAAGGGGATCTGTGAATGGTTTAGATTCACAATTTTGTCCGCTGGACAATATTTTTTTAATTTATTTTTAATTTATTAGTAGTTGTTGATGCAAACGTTTTTTTTTTTTTGACATTAGATTTGACAACTAACTAATATGTCAATCATTCTGTCGCACTTCAAAACACGGAGATTTATGTTTTTAATAGGTAAACTCCAAAAATATAAATAAAAAACGTAACAGATATTTCTTGATTATAGGGCGATACGAAGTTCGCCGGGTCCTCTAGTAAACATATACAGGGTCACTGGTGAATTACTATCAATATTTAAGGAGAGTACTTAATTTTTGACCAAATTTCCGTATAAATAAATAAAGCGTGGACACGTTCCAAGTGTTCCAAGCGTGGACGCGTGTGGCGGCGTGCTGATACAACACTACGCCGCCACACGTGTGTGTGTGCGTGTGTGTATACCTAATCTTTAGGGTGTTCACACGATGCGTAATTAATTACATAACTTTTGGTTAACTTTACTTAGAAGTTTATTAATATTTATGTTATATTAATTTTTATTTTGTCATATATGATCGTCAAATATCACGTCCTCAAGTATCGATAGTAATTCACCAGTCACCCTGTATATTGACATATAAACAAACTACTCCTTCTTCATGGCAATTTCCTAGCTTTACCCAGAGTCTGCCTTGGATGTTGTGAATAGTTTTCGCTAATTATTTTTACGACCTGCCTGACATCAACCCAATTTCTCTATAAAGAAGCTACTATTGATATTACATATATCGGTTACTAAATGTATATTTTCGAGACTTGTAGTAAGTTTAACTTACTTGGGCGCGAGACTGTCGAACTCGTCGAAGAATAGGATACAGGGACGCTGCATGTCCGCTCTGGAATTATAAATATATATTACATATATGAGATACATTGATATGACCTAAAGGACTCACTAGATGGCGAAACTGATGAAGGACATATACTATATATACAGTGTACATGTATAGAATTTATATTCAATAATATATTCATTGTTAGCAGATAACTTTTAGCCAAGATAAATTTTTAATAGCTTACATAGCAACACCCTTAATTTGGCCTCTGTAATTACTATATGCCACTATTTTATATATATATTTATTATACATGTTAACTAGTACATTTAATGAACTGTATAATACAGATAGCAAATATAATTCAGCTTCTACAAATCTTAATCCTCAACTACGAAAACAATAAGCTTGGTGTATACTGACTTATCAAATATATCCCGGACAGCCTTCTCACTTTGTCCAATGTATTTAGAGAGTAATTCGGGTCCCTTAACAGTGAGTACCCTCATATTAGTCAATGAGGACAAGCAGGATCCTATGAGTGACTTCCCTGACCCTGGAGGCCCGTACAGCAAGATGCCACATGAAGATGATGGAAACAGACTCGGATACTGGAACAGAAAGAAAATGTTCATTATACTATGTATGTATATGATAGTCAATGTAAAAAAAAATATTACTAATATTTTCTTAGAGAACATACTTATGGTACATACATTTAGTTTATATTCTTATATAGGGTGACTGGTGAATTACTATCGATACTTGAGGACGTGATATTTGACGATCATATATGACAAAATAAAAATTAATATAACATAAATATTAATAAACTTCTAAGTAAAGTTAACCAAAAGTTATGTAATTAATTACGCATCGTGTGAACACCCTACAGATTAGGTAAACACACACACACACGCGTGCGGCGGCGTGGTGTTGTATCAGCACGCTTCCGCACGCGTCCACACTTGGAACACTTGGAACGTGTCCACACTTTATTTATTTATACGGAAATGTGGTCAAAAATTAAGTACCTGTTTTTTTTACATAGTTCGAATGAGAATCATGTACCGAATATTCTCCTTAAATAATGATAGTAATTCACCAGTCACCCTGTATAATTATTTGGGAATGGAATTTATATGATATGAAGAACGATAATGAGTATATATAAATAATAATAAAATCTGAAAATTTCTTATGTCAGTGTTGCAAACATATAAAGTATATTCTAGGCTTTATTTGGTCCGAATATTATAATCATTTTTATCATATTTATAGTATGTAAGGTACTTATGCTAGCTCAGAATTAGTTGCAATTCTTTATAAAATATATTAAATTGAAAATAAATCAAAGTAATTACTAACATAAGTAACTGATAATTAATTACTTTGAAGATAATCTTTGAATTTTGTGAGATTAAAATCCATCAAGATTGTAATATATATTATATATAACTATATTATTTACCATGATCGGCCAGAATATAGCCTCAGTGATCTGTCTCTTCACGTCGTGCATGCCCCCCACTGAACCCCATATATCAAAAGTGTTCGCCTTCTCCAGTTCTTTAGATATATCATCTATTAGACGAGGCTTATCTGACGGCTTGGACTCTGAAAAACACATTAAATATATAAGACCAATAAAAATAATTTCTATACAATTCTCTATAAGACGTGTGACAACTCATTTAGTACTATAACTGAAATTTAAATAATCAGCCTATCAGAGGTCACTGCTGAGCAAAAGACTCTTCTCACATGAACGAGATGTGAGCATTAATCAAAACACTTGGTTAATACATATGAAATGCAAAGTGACCGATCTGACAATAGTTTTTAATATGTAAATCTATTATTGGATGCCATTGGATGCCACTAAATTGTTCAAAACACAACCATAGGTATTTATAGGTTACTAGAAGACCCGGCAAACTTTGTATCGCCCTATAATCAAGAAATATCTGTTACGTTTTTTTTATTAATATTTTTGGAGTTTACCTATTAAAGCCATAAATCTCCGTGGTTTGAAGTGCGACAGAATGATTGACATATTAGTTAGTTGTCAAATCTAACGTCAAAAAAAGCACCGTTTGTATCAACAACTACTAATAAATTAAAAATTCCAGTCGTTTGAGAGAAGTTCAGTGACATACACACTCACAGAAGAATTATATATATAAAGATATAGCAAGTTACTTCTTACAGTAATACCATAACAACTCACTGTTCTTGATTGCCTTGAATATTCTCTTATTAAAGTATTCAAGTATCTCCCTGACGGTACAGCCGGCCGTGTCACTAGCTAAGGTCGAAACGTCCTCCTCCTCCACTAGTACTGACTCACGGATTTTATCATTCAGTAAGTGTTTGAAAACTTCTATTCTATCCTCCTGGAATAATAATAATTAAATGAGTTTAACATACTAGATACTCTTTATATTAATTTATTGTAGTGAAACTTCTTATGCGACTTCCAATAGTGTTGCGTTAGATGTTTAACGCTTCAGGAGGGAATATAAAGAGACAGCGAGAGGGTATGGCTCCGCTCGAAAGCATGGGAGCAAGCAATTGTGGCTTAAAAGTAATATTAAGTAAGTTTTTTTTAAAACAATAAAAAATACTTAAAAATCTATTCCTAGGTTCTAGGTTAGTTTCACTTCTTCCGCACTTCCGGAACTCCACGTACAATTAATTTTTTCTTACTTTGTAATTAAACATTTAATCCAATATCACCTGATTCATATGAGGTATATCAAAGTGTGCTGTGAAAAGAGGCCGTCCACCGAACTGTCTCAGGACCGGGTGCAATGACCTCAGGCTGAGTGACGTCATCAACACACACACAGACGAACAAGACTGCAACATCTGTTTAATACACGACGCCAATCTGGAACATTCAGTAATATATGTATACATACATAGGTACTACTTTTTATATATAAAAAGAAAGCCGTGTTAGTTACACTATTTATAACTCGAGAACGGTTCTACGGATTTCGCTGAAAATTGATGGATGAGCAGCTTAAAATCATATGGGGGACATATTAGATATTTATTTAAGTGCGGTCGAAAAAGAAATAAGTAATGAAATCTAATATCTGGTTATTTACAGTCTCTACGGCAGAATAAACTTCGCCAGGATCTCTATATATAACTATTTCTGGACTTGAGGCGGACGAAGTGGCGATCCAAACACTAGTTTATATATAACCTAAGCAAATTATAATCACCTCTGGTAGTAAGCTATGTCTTGTGGAGAGGCGCCCTCTGTGTTCGGTGGTATTAAAGCGTCGAGGTCGTCACATATCAACACCGATGGACCATGTTCCTGACACATCAGTATAGCTTTCCCTATGATTTCAGTGACATCCTTTCTTCCTTTGAGGGACCGGCAGTGTAGTATGTGTGACCAGAGAGTTAGTTCTTTTTGTACTATATGACATATAGCTGACTTTCCTGTGCCGCTTGAACCTGGAAACATAAAAGATATTTAAGATCTAACTTTGGATCAAGGAAAACTATTGGAGGGATCAGATTTTCTTGAACAAACTATCAATGAAGTAATCTTAAAATGTTAATACGCTAACTTTTAATATGAACAGAATTCAGTCATTAAAAACTCCTTTTACTCCACTCACCAGTTATAAGGATATTACTCTTAATCTCTGAAACCCCTTTAAAACTCGCCTCTCTCTGTATCTCAAAATGTATATGTGATAGAATATCATCAACTAACTTCTGACTCGACTTTATACTGCGGCAATAATTCTTAAAGTCATATTCTAGTTTATGTGTTACTTTCTTGGGACAGTCAAAGTCAGCATCAGTCAAGCACTTGGCGGCCACGCTGCAGCTTCTAAATGACTCCGAGTTCAACATAGTGTATTTCAACCTTTCAGGTTTCAACTTAAACCTCAGAAACCCATGACTGATGTGTGTGTTCTGCTTCACCATTCCATCGTTTATGAGGAACATTTTACCAGAATGTGTGTTTTCGACGACACACTTCTTAAACTTTTCTACAACATCAATCTCAGTTTGAGTTTTCTCTGAGTATGTTATGATGTCCACGTGATCAGGAAGCTCTACTTTATCACCTATTATGTTAAAAATTAACTTCACCCCCATCTCAACATTTATTATGACGTTTAGTGACTTTGGTATGAGTACAGTCGGTATATTTTCATTGTAAACCTCTCTACAGAGACTTCTGTAGACCGTATTGTCTATGGTAACTATTTCTACACAAATACCGTCTATTTTATTGCATTCAACCTCATCTTCTTGCAACACCGATGGAATGTGGTTCATAGTGGCCAAGATCACCATTAAATCTTTATATTTTTTATCAATCAAGTCTTCGTGTATGAAAACAGTGTAAGGATGTATTAAATTTTTCTTTCCATCACTCTCTATAGGCAGAGCTCTCAATATTAATCTGTTTTGTGGATTTAAGTATGGACTGAGAAGACCGTCATTGATAATTCCAATATTGTTATACTTTTGGTGTGATCCCTTCGTTACTGTGCCTTGATTACTAAAGTCACTACCGAGACTGTTGAAAGCATCTATTTTGACTATGATTCTGCTATGATTGACCAGTAGACCGGTAGTCTTTGGAGTGAAAATGATAGGCATAGATGTTGATATCCACACGACAGCCTTCTGATCGGCAGCCACGAGCCTTAATTGATCTAAAATTCTTAATTGCAAAACCTCCACATTGTGTTCCTGAAATAAAAATTATCATTGAATCAAAATTTACTTTGGTCAAAAACAACTTTGAATTTGTTTTAAAATAAGAAACGATAATGTTGAAACCCTGCACTACAAAAATTTTATATAAGTATGAATCAAAATAAGAATGTATATAGAAAAATGTTAAGTAAGTTTGTGTATGCTTCAAAAATTAAATATGTTATGGACCGATTCAGCTGAAATTTTGAATTGATATACAACAAACTTCAAGGATTGTTTTTATCTATTTTTCACAATACCAACTTATGCTAAGTTCACCAGGTTACGATAACCGCAGATTTTTTTCGTATTGCTGGAGTAGATTTGTTACTAGACCGAAACCGAACTCAAAAATTTGAATATTTATTTTTTTATTAGTCTGCTTGACTGTTTGTTCGGGTATCAGGCAAAAAATACAATTTCGATAACGATGATAATTTGTATAATTATTCGTCAATATCCTGGACACCACACTGGTACTGGGTAATTTTTTTATGGTATTTAATGTATAAAATATTTTTTTGTTTGAATGTTTGTTTAAACGCGATAATCTGAGGAACTACTGGTTCATAATGGAAAATTATTTTTTTGTTAAATAGTTAGTCCACATATCAAGGAAGGCTACATTTTATTTAAAAAAAATTAGAGATCCGAATGAAAATTGCTACTTTCTAAACCAACATGAAAAATATAAAACTTATATATGCGTGCGCCGCAAAAACTATGGACAATAAAACATAATAATGTAGTATAGGTTTATAGGTCCCATTAAGATCTAGAAAAATGTTTGACAGGTTATGTATCTGAGTATCATAGTTTAGTCACAATATCCACTTTTATGCTATAAAAAAAAATTAAGAAGAGGAAGACATATGATGCCTTTTATCCCAATCCCGAATTCCAAATCACGAATCATGATCCCAACCAAAAATCACAAAAATTACAAAAATGGAACCATCAATTGCAGTTCAGGTTCAGTGGCCATAGTGTTATTTTTGTAACTTTTATCCCAATCCCAAAACCACACAGATGACACTATGAAGTGCAATTCAGGGTTCAGTTGCCACGGTAGCAGAGAATAAGTCTAATATTTGTGAAGAGTAATGGTCAAAAGCTGGTCAACATATATTTTTACACAACTTACAAGTATTTCTTGGTCATCTGGGCTATCAGTGTCAATGTACAACTGGTCTAGAACCTTCACATCTCCATACGGTGCCACAAACACCTCCACACCCTCATCTAAACCAACAACTTTACTGAAGACGGGATTACATGCTATGTGACCCTCTGGAATATTACTGTTGAATACTGCCCAGAGAAATATTTGTTTCTCTCTATACAATACTTGCACACATTGTGACTGAAAATAGAGAAAATAGATCAATATGTAGCAATTAGTTGAAATATTAATATTTTTAAAAATTCTAAACAAAGAACATAAAATTTATTGTTTTTGTAAAAAATATTTTCTTAGTACAAAAAAATAACTTTGTTTGAACATAGAGACAGAAATTCTTATCCACTATTTTCGTAATAATGTAAGAAAAAACTATATAACCTAGAAGTTATTATTTTCTCAGTAGTTTATAAGGCAGATATTATTTATACAAAGATAATCAGTTTTACTAAATTCCTATATTATATGTTGCGGAGCTCTTTATATAATTTATTAAATTGTTACCTGTTCATTGTTTGTATTGTGTTTAGTACTAATATATCCAAAACAAGATCTTTCATGTGTAAACGATACTTTTAATTTGTTTCCCCCCAACATTATTTTAAAAAAAATCTTCAAATTATATTATTGAAATGAGAATTCGACCCATAGCATAATCCCGTCAAAAAATTTAATAATACAACTATATTTAAAAAAAAATATTTGGAGAATGCAACTAAGAAAATTGCACTTATTATGACATATGATAAGAATGACAAAAGTTACAAATGTCAATTGATAAAGTTTGAATATAGGCCAAAATATATTTCACGTTCCTATTTATATTATTTTATAAATCGTATTAATAAATCTTTAAAAAATAATAATTTTGGAATTCTAATCAATTAAATAGATTTACTCTTGCAAAAGTAACTAACATACTTCGTTATTATATGTTGTTTATTTCAGAATAATTATATGATAACATCGGGAGAAATAATTTTCTAAATAAAAAATATTTCTTAATATGAAAATTCATATATTTTAAATTATTCAGTTAATTGATATATTTTGCAAGAATTGCAAATTTTATATTTTAAATCGTGATTTATGAAACGAATCATTGGAATGTTAGCCGCTCTCTCATTGGCCGAATAAGCTGCCAATAGAAATTTAAAGCAACATGCAACGGTTTTTGTAGATAGCTCTGATCGGTTGCGAGTTGAAATAACGAAAATTTAGACATAATTTAACTTTAGAGTTTTTTTACAGCTTTTTGTGATTTCTAAAGTATTTTACTCCACCATAATAGCGGCCGATAACTTCCAGATATTGTAAGTATTTTTATATATGCTATAATATGTGATGTGACGCTGTTTGAAACGACGTTCAATTGTTTAGGCTCCATTTTTAGTCGTTAAAACTAATAATTTTGCAATATAACTATGAATATCTATATTTCGGTTCGTTATTTTCACTATATTTACTCTTAACCAAAGAATTGCGTGAAGAAGACAAATTATTTCCAGTAGTGAATAATGGCGCCAACCAGGTTGGCATCAAAGCCGATCGGCGTCAATGAGAACCTTAATGGCATTCTTAGCCATGGTATTACAACGAGGAGTAAGCAATTGGCTACTCTGAAATCATACAAAGACAGCCTGAAGGCGCCAAACAAAAGAAAAGCTGACAGTCCCGCCAAGGATATGACTGCAAAAAGAGCGGCGTTCGGAGATATCACAAACGCCTTCAATAAATCGTCTGCAAATAATGATAAAGACAAAGGCATGGCGCTCAAGAAGGTTACAGTTGAATCAAAAATGCTACCAATAGTTAAGGTTACTTTTATTTTGTTTTATATCCTGAGGGTAATCAATAAAAAATATTGATGATGTAACCAAAAATTTAAAAGGTTTTTGCTAATATATAACATGTGAGAGTTTTTTTTTTAAATTTAATTCATAAGCTAGATGTCAATGAACTTTCCCTCCAAAATATTGTGATGCAACTTTTTTTTTACACATACTTAATTTTATTAAACAAACTCTTATATATCTAAATATATTTATATTTTAGAATATAAAAAATCAGACAGCCACATTAAATGGAAAAACTTCAAAAACAAAGCAGTTACAAAAAGCAGCAAACAATGCTTTAGAATCAGTACAGAAGCATTTTGCTAAAGATCCTCCCAAGCCCGTTGCGACCAGAGCTCAGAATGGCATACTCAAGAATGTTGAAAGGAAATCCTTTGGCAAGGAAAACCAGAACAACAGCCGGGGCTCAGCTAAATCAACCAGGAGTGATATGTCCGGTGACCCCTCATTATATATGACGGCACTTGAAAACATGTTAGTATATCATTGAATTTTTCTAACATTAATTCACCTTTTTCATATAACTTCAGCAGCTTGCATGAGTTAGTATTAACAAACAAACATTTCCAGTAGTCCAAATGACGCTACAAAGGAAGAATGCAAAGTCATCAGTGAGAAATTAGATAAAGTTAACTTGGACGACTCAGTCAACCGTTCTTTGGATGAGGAGACTGAGACTCCGCACAAGGCACCAGAGGGAGTCGTCGACTTTGACAAAGAAAATTGGACTGACCCATTCCAAGTGTCCAATTATGCTATGGATATATTCAACTACTTAAAGAGTAGAGAAGTAAGACAATATTTTATTGTTGTATTAAATATTTTCTAGTATAAATGTTTCAAGTAATACCTGATTGAAACTATAGCTAATATCATGTACATATACAGTCAAACCTGGATAAGTGACAGTCCAAGGGAGCATAATCTTATTCTTGCTTGTAGAGTTTTTCAATAACCTGAGTTTCTTGCTAATGCAGGTTTATAGATAACATTTCTCTTGTAGAGGTACGCAGTAATAACAAGTCACAATTCAGAAACTCTGGCCCTCTTAATATTTCCATGTCTGACAGAGCACTCAGACTTAGTCTTTTGATCTTATAACTTTACAACAGATAGATTCTGGTACATTAAACTCACTCTGAATTTCATTTCGCAATTATCAGATTCAAGCGCACTCACTATTTGAAGTTTATTACTCAATGACAGTACTTTAGTTTTTCGTTTCCACATGATGCAGATCACAACTTTACTTCGCAACTGATTAGTATAAGCTGAGTAAGTCCAATAAATACGACGGTACACAGGCACACCTGTTCAATCGAAAATAATGCTGTATTATAAAATTATTTAGTTTCACGAAATAGAATAAGTGTCAATATTGACGAGAAAACAATACTAAAACAAAGTTAGAAAGATCTACGAAAGTTAAGAAACGAGTCAAAATAGCAGATGTAAAATTTGTAATTTGTTTCTGTATGTGTATTTTTATAGTAGCTATAGTTCGTCTTACATAATATAAAATATAAACTAGCTTTCCGACCGCAGCTTGTCCCGCGTGGAGTTCATTATATCGCGTTTCCAAGAGAACCTTTCAAGTCTGGCATAAAAACTATCCTATGTTCTTTCTCAAGTTCAAATCTTATGTCTGTACCAAATTTCATTAAAATCAGTTCAGTGGTTTAGGCGTGAAAGCGTAACGGACAGACAGATAGACAGAGTTATTTTCGCATTTATAATATTAGTTGGGATAAGGCTTGACTCTCGCTTATAGAGGTATAGAGAAGTAACAGTCTCACTTACAGAGGTCTATGAGGGAAAAACGACTTATAGAGGTTTCTGTTTCTCTCTAACAGAGGTTTAAGGAACTTAAAATGACGGGTCCTGGCTATTACTCTCACTTGTCCAAGTTTGACTGTATATACATATATAATTTGTATTGTTAATTATTTATTGGAGATTCTTTTTTGTTGTTGCGAAGATATTTCTATGTAACTGAATATCTATTGAAACAGAACATCATTTTAGATTTCATCAACAGAAGTAAAAAAAAACTCAAGTTAACAAGACTTTATATTTCATTTTTGTATGTTTTAGTAAGTAACAAATATTTTTCAGCGTCTATTCGTAATCGATGACTACCTCCAACGTATGAAAGGGATCACGTCGTGGATGCGCGCGCTGCTCGTCGACTGGATGGTGGAGGTCCAGGAGAGCTTCGAGCTGAACCACGAGACGCTGTACCTGGCCGTGAAGCTCGTGGACCTGTACCTGACCAAGTCCAGCAGGATACAACCGGAGAAGGACCAGCTAACTAAAGAAGAACTACAGTTGCTGGGAGCATCCGCACTATTCATCGCTTCAAAGTTCGATGTACGAGATGTTTCGTTATATTCCATCTTCTTCTACCTGGCCATTTCCCAACTTTAGCCAGGGTCTGCCTAATTTTGTAATATTCCATACGTACATATATATATTAGCGGTCGAGATGTGTGGATACGTTTTCATATAATAATTGGTCTACTTGCTTCCTTACACAGTTATTTATCTTATTATATCATTATTGGTCCAAATATTAAGTTTACGTGTCAGAAAAGCCGCATACAAAATACAGCCTTACTATTATTCATCTCTATTCATCGCTTCAAAGTTCGATGTACGAGATGTTTCGTAATACATATTCCATAATCCATACACACATATATACAATACTAGCTGCGCCCCGGGGTGTTACCCGCGGATTTTCGGGATGTAAAGTAGCCTATGTGTTATTCCTGGACGTCAGCTTCCTGTATTCAAAATTTTATCAAAATCGTTTCAGCGTGAAGAAGTAAACATACACACACACACTCACAAACTTTCGCAATTATAGTATTAGTAGGATATATATATTAGCGATCGAGTTGTGTCGATTTGTTTTCATATAATAATGTCTACTTGCTTCCTTACAAAGTTATTTATTTATCTTATTATATCATTTTTGGTCCAAATATTAAGTTTGCGTGTCATAAACAGTTTACAAAATAATGCCATACAATTATTTACTGAAAACTTAAAATATATTTTTTACCAAAATTACTTTTGTATCTTAACCAATATTCGTGGATGCAAAATAATCTTTTCCTTGCTCTTGATTTGTTTCGCAATACATTTTTCCTCCTCCTCCCTACTAATATTATAAATGCGACAGTAACTCTGTCTGTCTGTTACGCTTTCACACCTAAACCACTGAACTGATTTCATCGGAATTTGGTACAGAGATGGAGTTGACCTTGAGAAAGAACATAGGATAGTTTTTATCCCAGACTTTTAAAAGTTCTCTTGGAAACGCGATATAACCGAACTCCACGCGGGCGAAGCTGCGGGCGGAAAGTTAGTATGTAAGTATATATATAATTATTGACGTACGTATATTCGACTGTTCCAGGAGCGTATCCCGCCGCTGGTGGATGACTTCCTGTACATCTGTGACGGAGCATACTCCCTCAACCAACTGCTGAAGATGGAAATGAACATCCTTAAAGTCATCGACTTCGACCTCGGCGTGCCGCTGTCCTACCGCTTCCTCAGGAGATACGCCAGGGTAATGTTACATTACATTATTGATTATGAGCTATGTTTTACTTTTAATGATTTTTAATTATATCGTTTTCGATGTTATAAAAGCAGTGAACATTGACAAATACCTACATTTTTATATCTAATTTTCTAAACTACTGTTTTAAATTATCCCATTTGAAAGTATTGTTATATCTTAGTTTACTTGCAAGCAATTTCAATTTTATTCATTTCATTTAAATGCTACTAATATTTTCCGGGTTTATTTTATTATTTTAAAAACTACATACTTCCGACGTTTCAGTTATGTCACAGCAACAACCTTGTTAAATGAGTACTCACAAAAGATTTAATTATCATAATTTATTCCGTGTCTCGTAAAATTTCTCTTTTTTTAGGAAAATTTGTTGACTTCAATGTCTAGTTTTGAATAAAATATGGTCCCTTATTATACAAGGACCGCCTATTCTTTTTCTGTGTGGTAGAAATCTTTTATCCTTTTACACGCCTCATATAGCTTACATCAAGCCAAATAAAATAAAAAATTAAAACAAGTGACTAATTAAATGAAATATCAACCCAAAACCATGATCTCAACACGAATTAGTGTATTTTTATTTGTTGAGTTGTTTGCATAATTTGAATCTTTAGGTTTGTACACTACAAACAGAGATATTTAACTGAGAATTTATAAGTTTTATGGTACTTAACATTCGTTGTATCTTATAGTGTGCCCGTGTGTCAATGCCGACGTTGACGCTGGCTCGCTTCGTGTTGGAGCAATGTCTTCTGGAATACCCTCTGGTTGGGGAGAGGGACTCGAAAATGGCGGCCGCCGCGCTGTACATAGCACTGAGGATGAAATCACTGGGAGGATGGACCCCCACACTGCAGTATTATACAGGTAACATTGATAAACACGACCTTTATATACGCGTAACTACCAGTGGATAATTCCGCGTATCTGCATTAGAAGCAGATAATAATCAGAAGAATGTTTGAGATGAAATATTTTCTATATTAACGACAAGGTATTTTTTTTCACAATTGGTAATAAATTGAACACTAACTAATTACTAATTGTGAAAAAATTAAATTAATAGTCATTAAAATAAAAAATATTTCATCTCAAACTTTCTTCTGGTAACCTGCTTCCAATGTAGTTACGCGGATTTATACTATCCCCGATGATATACATGAGTACAGTACAGTGAGTGTATGTATGTAGTAGGAATTGTATGTCAAAAACTAATCCCTACTAATATTATAAATGCGAAAGTAACTCTGTCTGTCTGTAACTTTCACGCCTAAACCACTGAACTGATTTTAATGAAATTTAAAGATAGTACAGAGATAGAGTAGACATTGAGAAAGAACATAGGATAGTTTTTATCCCAGACTTTTGAAAGGTTCTCTTGGAAAAGCGATATAACCGAACTCCACGTGGGCGAAGCTGCGGGCGGAAAGCTAGTATTCTATATATAAAACCGTCATCGTCGTCTATATAGCTCAATCCTCAACACATTAATCTATTATCATTTTCAGGATATACTCTGAAAGATATCCTGCCAGTAGCAATCTTACAAAACGCAGCCCTCCACAAGAAACCCAAGTCAGCTATCAGTACCGTCCGTAACAAGTATTCTCACACTATCTTCTTTGAAGTCGCCAAAGTCAGTCTCGTTGACGACAGCGTACTCAACAGCTGAGCCTCGCCACGTGGCACTTTATAGAACAACAACAGGTGGGTCAAAAAATCATGTTATATTATGTATATTGTAAGGTTGAAGTTACTGCATACATCTACATTTTTGGATGAGTATCGTACTCAGCGATATATGTAACTTCAGCTTCTGACATTCTATTAAGTATGTCGGGGCGCGTTCGAATATTATTTAAGTAAACAATGCACTGCCTGTAAGCCCCCGACATACGTTTTATATTAGACCGTGTAATGTAAGGTGCCACATTGACTTAGGAAATTCATGTTGAAAGAAATTTTACAAACATGTAGAACAATTTCGTGTTTAATAAATGACTAATCTCTTAATATAGTACATTCAATGTTACTATCGATGCATTTACTTATTAAAGAAGGTACTTGTAACAAATTTTTAAGTTATTAAAATTAAAATCATCACGTACTTATATGTACTTTGACATTATTGAGTACTTCATCGAAATGTTTACTCGATGTTAATATCGTTTGTTAGACTAACTAGTTACAGTTTATAGTCTAGACTGAGCTAGCGACGCTTATCTATATATATGATCACCTCTGAAGTAGACCAGACGAGACCAATGAGACTAAGTCTCATAGCCGTTCATCTCCAGTGTATAGTTTGAACAAAAAACCAAAACCTCACCAAAAGCTCACAAATGTTTCTGTTAAGTACATTCCAATATTAAACATGTGTATTGTTGTTTAAATGTCTTCCTATAGCCAATTATAGGTAAGTAATGATTTGCATTTACAAGTCGAGCTAGAATATTAATATAATGTTACATAAGTCTTAGTTGAGTACATTTGAGAATAGGAACAAAAAATTTTGCAATGTGGTATGTAAGCTTTATTTGTTTATTTTGTTATATACTCTTCTGGATCTAAGTCTACTGCCCCGCTATTAGTTATTGTAATTCCATATCTATTATTGTTTTAGAATGTTCATGTATGTGTCCCTAAATGTAATTGTGTGTTATAGTGCCGCCTAAATTAAGAATAAATAGATTCAGATACATTATAATGACTGATTGGATATTATTTGATTGTTGTACTGTAATGTGTGCATATCATCAACTACTCCTCTGTCTGTCACCTACCGAGTGTTCAACTTGCTTCCGACAGATTCTGTACTGGTTTTGTATATGTTATGTATTTGTATTTGGCAACATTTGCTAAAGCTGTTTTAATTATAATAATTATTAATGGATTTTGTAATATTTTAATTAGTTTACATAGTAATTATTGTGAGTTTGTTCACAACCGTGTCATGTTTTGTAATTTATCACATTTTAAAGAGTACAAAATATTGGAATGTTATAATAATGTTGTTCCTTAATGGTAAGTTTTAGAATAATTATAATTTTAAAACTGTTTTTCTTTTTCATATCATTTGTCTTAATTATTGAAGTGAATGTATAACTAAATGTGTAAATAAAAGTGATTTTGGTTTGGTATATTTTTTTTTTCCTTTAAAAGAGTTATGAGAAATAATACATGTATCAATTTATGATGTGATTTAATCACATTTGAATATTCAAATGTACATTGACTCCATTACAGATATAAAAGTTATAAAACATACCTACATACATATAGGTATGGGTGACCAACATTCAGAACTAGCTCCTGGGGTCGGTAACCAGCCTTATAAATTTGGCTTACACATTTCATAAGAGATCTCATTTAAATCTATTTGATTCAGGTTACAATAGTACTGGAGCCGTAACATTCGATCCTTACAAATAAAAATGCATATCATAACAGTTCATACTCAATAATGTATTTGAGGTAATCGAATGTCTTCAATTTATTTTGAACATTGTATCCAATCGTATTATCAAATATCTTATCACAATAACTCCATTGAACGTCGTTACATTGCACATTGTGAGTTACCTAAATGTCTTCGTTACATATGGAACTGGTAAATACGAGAAATGGCTAAAACTAACTATCGCAATAGTTATATACCCTGTTAAACAAAGTTCGAATGAAAACGGTACGTGCGATCACATCTAAGGTTCTTACAAACGAAAACATTCAATGGATAAAGCTTACCAATATGGTACAATCAACAAAAACTATTCAAAGTGAATAATGAACACAATACAGAGCTTTCAACCGTTAGGACACGGACCCACTTCAATACCGCCGCAGACAGAGGCAGAGCATTCTGCTAGCACTTCACATACTACATATAAAACAACTTGTCAATTAATATTCTATTACTGCGATGATGTTGAATGATACAATTAGTTTATTATTATAAATATTAAAATGCCGGTTAAGTCATCGTATGAACGTGGGTGGGAGTAACAATGATTAACATTAAACAAAGGCGGGATGAAAGGATCGAAACTCGTTTCGCATCCTCGTTATGAGATTATGTATATTAATGGCTACGTTCACTTAAATACTAAATTATATACAATATATAAAACGCACCTAATATTTACAATAAAGTTTTGGATGCTTTGGCTATTTAAAGGGCACTCGCTTTTCATTTCTACACTAAGAATACACTACTCCGAGTTCTAGTAGGAACTAACTCATAGACTGAACGCTCCCGAACATCTCCTCGGTGGTTCGAAACTAGACATTAAACAGTTCTAATATTATAACAGTTCGTTATTCACACGACCACTATCATCACACTATTAGCTGGAGTTCTTGTGATTTCTGTCGTCGCGGTGAGGTGACTGGCTCATGGGCGTGGGCCGCGGGCTGACGGGCCGGAAGGTGCACTCCAGGCTGTCCGAGTCGGGCGTGGGCGGCGTGGGCGGGGACAGGCGCTCGGGACATGAGCGCTTGGCCAGTGGGCAGTCGGGCTCGTCGCCTCGCCGCTTGCCGCCCGCCAGCAGGCGGCTCGTGGGACTGAAGCTGGACGCTCGCAGCGCGATGGGAGACAGGCTGCGGCGAGTCGTGTACTTGCGGGCTTGAGAGGGAGACACCACGGGCGGACACCTGGACAAAGAGCAGCATTTAAAACATTTCTACGAAATTCATATCTCTTATGAAGTTATAATATTTTTTTTCTCGTTCAATGAACGGAAGTTTCTTTGAATGCAAGTTTTGATACTCAATCAATTCAAAGAGTTTATATCCAAATTAAAAATCTCCACAAACTATTCCGCAGAGTTCTATTTATAGTTCACGTCCTAATAATAACAATTTGTCCACGATACGGGCCTAGCCTAGTGGTGACGTCAATGTTCACTATAAATTTAATTATTAAGTGTTTTTACAAATAAAACAAATAGAAAAACAAATAAATAAAGATACTAGAGATACTTAATAATAACAACATAACTATCCAGTCCGTATGAACACCACAGACCTCTGTATCCTGGTGGGCGAGTTTGAGAGTCCCCCCATGAGCGTGAGGTCCTCACATGACTGTCCCATCTGCATGGCGGTGTGGACCTCCCGCTCGTGAGCCACCTCGCGCGTGTTGCTCACGTCCGCACACTCCTCCAGCCGCAGCTGGTTGACGCGAGGGTTGTGGCGCTGGAACGATATCATTATGAATTACGATATGATTTAGAAGAAACGTATCCGTGTTCAGTTCATAAATATATACCAAACCTTAAAATAAATTATTATGAATACAGCTTATAGCAGATGTTATAAAAGATACATTTTAACAACTTCACTAACAAACGAGCAACAAACTGTGTAGGTATCAATTAGAAATTAATCTGCCGTTGATCTAAAACACCTCATTAGGTTGAGAAAAACCAACTAAATAAGTCACGACTGTACTAAATTATTAAATGACATTATGATAATGACTTATAAAAATGTATTACTTGAAAGCTTCCTGGCAAGTTGATAGCCGTGGACATCGGGCTGCAACTGATGCTGTTGCTTCTCGTCCGAGGCAGACTGCTGTTGCTGAACATACTGAAAAACGATGTACTCCTGAAACAATACAACATCCCTTCATTATTACGAATTACAGAACACTATGATCATAACGAAGGCTGATTGTGTAGAATCTAAGACTTACACACTGTGTCATACAAGTTGAAAATGTACACGTTTATAACTTGCTTTAATTTTATCGTATTAATTGTATTTGTCCAAAATTGATAAAGGAATTTAAGATTTTGAAGAAACAGACTCTATAAACTAGGTATAATTATTTAACGTTTTTAAGACTAAAATCAACAGACTGTAATACGAATATTTTAAACAAACACGATCCATTTCAGCTTTTATTATTTCTTAAACTTAGTTGACAATGAGGTTGAATGTTATTTCGATAAATAAAATTTGTAAATAGTTCCTAAAATAATATATTATTGGCTGTCCAATGTCCATTGTTATCAGAACAAGCAATCTGGTACATTGTTTTATTTTTCAAAGTATGTATTTTATAAACAGACAATAATAACATTATGTATATCTCTTAGCAATGGGCATCTTGTGTACTTGTTGTGAGAATGAAAAACAGATGATTATTATTTATATTAAAAATCTATATTAAATTTAAATAATAATAAAAATAAAACCATTTCACTCATCAAACTAAACCATCACCATACATTGGGAACATATTATGATCATTTCACAAAAAAAATCTTTTTAAAAGCATATTGAAACTTTAATCCCATCTAAAATTATTCACCTTGTTGTTAGCAGTAACAAACTCACGTTTTTATCTTATTATCAGAAAACGAAGATACTTTTGTATACTAATTACTTAAGAATCATAGAATAAAAACAACAACAGGTACTTTTATTGTTTTAATTAAAAATTAATATAAATATTTCCTAAATTCTGTGAATACAAATTATTATAGTATTTTATTGAGGTACACTGTCTAGATTTTTGTTAATTTAACCGGATGTTTTATTAAATCACTATTTTGTATACGAGAAGTCTCCAATCTCCATGAAAGTTCTGTCAAAATCCTTATTATTTGTCATGTTACGTCTTTTCTTCAACGTATGCAGATTGCACTAACTGCGTTTGACTTTTGAAATCTTTCAGTCTCAACAAAGGCACGTAATGTATAATTTTCTTGAGGCGAATCTTTGGATATTAGTTTTTTCTCTTGAAATGTCTTTTTGTTTCATTTTAAAACACTTGTATTACAATAAATCAAATCAATCGTATTATTTACACCAGTCGCGAAAGGTCCATAAACAAGAAATTTCGAAAGTGTTTATCACCTAACCATTAAACTGACGACATACACCTAATATTGACAAAAGGTGACACTATGGTCAGTTTCGATAGACTCAGTTATAAGTATTCCTAAACTAATTTGCTTTTCAAAAATGTTTAATTAGTTTATATCATGCCTATGGAATATGCAGAATGTTTTGAGCTTAGTTTAAAAAATATTTAAATGTGAAGGAATTTTTTATACATATATTTATATAAGGAAAACATTCCTAATGATGTACATGAGCTCGCTTTATATTCGCGATATTTTAATGGAGTTTTTCCAGACGGCAGGCTCTTTCCGGGATTGTCTAAGATACATCATCAATAATCAACTATTTTACCATGCAATAAAATATTTGCATTCTCAAACCAATTTCAATTCTTTAATTGCTAAGTTACAATTAACTATGTAATTAGAGAAAAATAGTTATTCAGCTTGATTTAATGTTATTATATAACTTAATAAAACAGAATCTCATCATTTTTTTATATTAAAGTAGCTTATTCTGCAACCCAGTTCAGTAAGTGCCGCTTGTAAGTTGTATTTCTTATTGATGACCAGGAAGTGTCGCCAACATTTAAAAACTAATAGAAGCTTATTATCATTCATAAATAGTTTGATGATAAGAACAATTGTCATAAAGTTTCTATAAAATTAATATATAAGCCCTCCTAGAAAAGACAATTCACCTGATATGCAAACAGCAGCATTCCTTAATACAACAAGTGGGTGTATATGTGTGTTATATGAAGGTGAAAACTATTGAATTCAGTATTATGTGAAAATACATTTGATAAACTTGACCATAATATTAAATTTTACCAAGTAAAGATGTTAGCAAACACCTATCACCGAGGTAGCTTGATTCGCAAGGCTATTGAGGTACTCTTAAAAACCTAAATAAGACTAGATTTCCAGAAATCATCTACAACTGAAATATTTTGAATCTACAACCATTACAGATAAGTAACAACACTAGTTAAAAAAGATTGTCATTGTATCTTTCAAACATAGTTACTGCAAAATTTATCGAGACACAAGTTCATAAAATTGTCCAACCAATATACAAGTTAAATCTGACAATGTATTAATTAATACAATATAACTTTATTACTTTACATTAAATAATGTTGCATAAGGAATATTTGTTTTAAAATCTGCAAATTGATAATATAAAATATTTATGTAATGTTGCAAAAACTGCTATCTTATCTGGTAAGGGAAGATTTGTGAAATTTAAACATACACATAAATGAAACGTATGACAATTCACGATAACCAGTCACAACTATATCATAATTAAGTCCTGAAAATTAATATTTCATTTTATTAGTGAAGGCTCTTTTGTAAAGTAAATATGAGTGTTCATAAATAACAAATAATGTACAATGTAAAGTCCTATAATTTCAACAGACAGACAAACAAATCTGCTACATTGTAAATGCCTTTTCATAAAACCTACTTTTGAAGTTATACTTCTTTAAGTGCGATGGAGAAAAATGATGAGAGTGAATTTTTTCTCTCATGCAATATGTGATGCATTAAACTAGGAAATTGTTATTAATTAAGACATCTTTGTATATCATAGAATTTTTTTTTTCTTGACTTACCAAAATAAAAATATTCACCTTAACTTTTAAAGTTGCATAAAAATATTTAAACATATAGATAAAAACATAAAATAAAATACTTGTAAATACAATAGCATAGGCATACAAGTTTAAGCAACAGATGTACAGAATCTCAAACCTTTAGAAACATTAAAGGACACTACAAACATCAAGTGTTATGCAATACAACAACAACTATGACCTATTGATTAATGATGCATTCTCATAACATGTACAATAATAATATTTGATCATTCTAAACACTCTTAATAACATCCCAACAAACATTTAAATTCAAATGAAATATTAATGTTCATGTTAATAGCTAATAAACAAACTAATTAATAAACCAGGTACCATACTGTTTTTATGTCTGATTAATGCAACCAAAATTTAGTATATCAAACAATCACCAAAATATTTATTGCCAAAATCAGTAACATATATAGAAAAAAATAATAATATGGCTCACCCTTATTTAAAATGTATATTACTACATGATCAAAGCAGCTGTCTAAATGACGAAATCCTTTATAGGTGCATATGAAATCACAGATCATTGATTAAGTCTAGTGTTCTAGTGTTAGAAACGTGCACTGCACCCACTGGCGAACTCAGCAGCTGTCAAAAAATAGGCAGGTAACGTAGCGACAACAATATCGTAACCTGCGGCAAGCGATGTCATTTGTAAGAGATTTACCTGGGTGCTGTACTGGTCGAGGGCGAAGTGGCGGCCGTGGAAGCCACCTCATTGATAAGCGGTGCGCTGCTGCACCTTTTTAATACATTTGGAGTGTCCACATCCATTATCTTTCAGCCAACACTCATCAACTGACGTTTTGTGTAGTTATAATATGCATAAGAACTGCCTAGTACGCGCTCTACTGTTAGTGTTTATATAACACTGAAAGTGCACTTAGAAACAAATAAAAACACGAAGTATGCTGCTATAAAGTCTACATAAATGTTACTTTTGATGCGTACATAAAAAGTAAATACAAAATTAAATAAAATACGCTATTCAGAAAGCTAAAAAGAGGCTCAGGGCTGACCTGTCAAACCGCCGCAATAGAAACGTTCAAAACAATAACGATAAACGAACACCGTGTATCATAAGCATAAGTTAGTAATATTTTTATAAAATTCCTGGATTTTGTTGTGTTCAAATTCAATCTTTTTAAAGGCGGAAAGGCAAGAAGAAAAAAATGGGAACTATGAATTCCATTACATTAAAATAAAAAAGTACATATACCTACTCTTGTTTTTGGATCCAAAATATATTTGATCGATTAGTTTTAATTTTTATATGTCATATCTCTGTTTATTTTAATGGAAAATGTTACAAAATCAGAGGAACGGGAATTAATTTAAAATCTGAATCCGAAAACAGGTCAAGTGTTTTCAAAATAAAATAATCTATACTAATATTATAAAGAGGAAAGGTTTGATTTTTTTGTTTGTTAGTCTCGAATAGGCGCCGAAACTACTGCACCGATTTGAAAAATTCTTTCACTGTTCGAAAGCTATACTATCCTGGAGTGACATAGGCTATATTTAGTTTTTTTAAATAGGGTTCCTTACCAAAACTCCGATAATGTAAATAATATACCAAAAAACTTTCTTGAATCGCGAACGCTCCGAAAACGATTGTAGATATAACAAAGTGATGTACTACAATTTTGTAGAACTTATCATTATCTACAAAAAACGTCGCGACATCATATTTCTAACTATTATAGTTTTGTCACAATAAGTCAAAATGACTAATAAATAACTAAATAAAAAAATAATTAATTAAAATACCACTGCTTGAAAAGGCTCTTTATTTGTACCTTAGTATTAATCCTTATCGAAATAAAAGATTTATTATTTAAGATTGTTTCAAAACCTTTATATAACAAATTTTTAAATTATTAGATTGTGATATTCCATTCAAAACATATCACGAGTTAAAAAAATTGAAAAATATCCACTCGGCGGTTAACTATGCGTTGTAGAGTTGTAGGGGTCACTTGGGCATGGAGGTACGGGAGAGAGGTTAAGATCACGAAATAATATCTAAGAATTACTTAAATTTAATATTTGTTTTTATTTGACACAAAAAATTGTGAATATTTGTGTAAATGTCATATTTAGTGCTCGTGCAAAGAAGCTTAATGTATAATAACATCCATTACAACGTTCACAGTTTTTCTGTAATGTATTTAGCATCAGCATTGCACCCGTGCGAAACTAGGGCAGGTCGCTAGTTTAGTATATGGTGGTAACTGGGATTATTTGCTGACTTTTAGAGAAATACATTATTAAATCTACCCACAATTCGACCTGGAATTTATATCTATACTAATATTATAAAGCTGAAGAGTTTGTTTGTTTGTTTGTTTGTTTGAAAGCGCTAATCTCCGAAACTACTGGTTCGAATTGAATAATTCTTTTTGTGTTGGGTAGTCCAGTTATCAAGAAAGGCTGTGGGCTATAAAACATCACGCTAAGACCAATAGGAGCAAAGATATAGTTGTAAATGTGTAAAAAACGGGAGAAATTATTTCATCTTTGAAGCCTTCCGTTGGGTGCGCCGTGAAAACGGTTCAAGATACACAAAAAATATGTATTAAAGAATAATAGCTCTTTTAATGATCTAAAAAACAGTCCGTGACAGTATATGTCTATCTTTTAAGATTAACTCACAAAAACCGTTTTTATGGTACCTAATTTGGTCGAACTAATTAGTTTAAGTTGTATCAACATAATAATATTAATCTTTATTCAAATAAACAAATAAATATGTTGTTGGTTAAGAGTACTTCATTGTAAATAAAAAAAAACATAGGTTTTATCCTGAAAATTCTACGGGAACTCGACCATTCCGAAAACCCCCGCAAGAACGGGAACTATGTGGGAAGAACCAAAAATCTGCCGGAAGTCACTTCCACGCGGACGAAGTTGCGGCAAAAGCTAGTGTTTAATATATATTAATCAAACTAACCAGTTGACCTTTCAACAACAGTCTGTAAATATGCATAGACTTTGAATTAAAACTTTACTGCGCTGAATGTAGATCGGAGACCATAAAAACCTTATCCTACATTGTAAAAACCTAGTTTATGGTAGGTCAGAGTGAGTATGAACCTGAAAATTGAAATTTTGCTTTTGATACTAAATTTTTCCCCATAAACAATATAACAACCTGGAAAAATGGTTGAAGGTGGGTGTTTTGGTCCATTCCTATCTAATGATATCTCGGTGTCTGATGCAACCTACATTTAGAATAATTTTTAAACATTTGAGAGTTTACATGATTGTTATCAAATATATCATTCAATAAATTGGCAAATCATTATAATATATTTATTAGGAACCAATTCAATACGGCATCTTTTCAAAGTAATGTAAAGATATCACTGTATAAAAGAGATTTCCTATAAAGTAGAAGCTGTTTTGTATTCAAGTTAATTTTTTACGAAGTGCGAATTCTACGCCACAAAGGACCCCACTAGATCCGAATCAATTCTACGTTTATTCTCGGTCATTTACACTACACTCTGTATTTCCTCCCTTTAATAACTTCCTAAACGGAGCTCTAGCCTCTTAGACGCACCCCTAAGTCGGGCGTATCTCCGAAACTGAAGTTAAACCAAATATAGCTGACAGTTGTAATCAAATCTTCTATCTTCTATATATATAAAAATGGATTGCTGTTCCTTAGTCTCGCTAAAACTCGAGAACGGCTGAACCGATTGAGCTAATTTTAGTCTTGAAATACTCCTGGAAGTCCAGGGAAGGTTTAAAAGGTGAGAAAAATTAGAATAATTGCCGGGAAAACCCTAAAAACAGCCCTTTTCTATTTCCCATACAAACGTTTTTTTTGACATTAGATTTGACAACTAACTAATATCTAAATCATTCTGTTTGATTGAAACAGGAAAAACCTGATTATTTATGGCCTCTTAGACGGAATAGAGTTCGCCTGGTCAGCTATACCTACATATATTACTCTTGACCAAACTAACGCGGACGAAGTCGCGGGCAAAAACTAGTCTAAAAAAACTAGTCTAAAAATTCTTAAAAAGTAGTAAATATTTATCCTACCACCTAGCAGGATGACGTGTAGACTTATCTTCTTCTTCTCCTTCTACCTGGCAGTTTCCCAGCTTTAGCCAGGGTCTGCCTTACATGTTGTGAATAGTTTTGTCTAATTGTTTTTACGACCGGCCGCCTGTCTGACGTCGACCCTCTTTTGGGAATCAGAATTAATCAGTGCAGTCTAAATACTCTTAAAGTACATATGACTCTGAAAAATCACATTAGTACTTGCCCGGGCCAGAATCGAACCCGCGCCCTCATGCATGAGAGGCCACTACTGACTTAGGTCTATAGTGATTGTATTCTTGTTATTATTGTTTGTCTCCTTGTTATTTAAGTATAGTTTATTTTTGACCAACAATATAATTCTTGTTGAATTACAGTGACTTTCCATATTATTGAGTTTGTTTAACCATTGATTATGAATAAAATAGATTACAGCCTCTTTAAGTTTCTTGGATTAAGTTACAACACGGAGTCTTGGATTTAATTGTATAACTTTTTTGATAATAAGAGCTCATTTCTTGATAATGTTTTTTCTGTACTTTATTATTCGGCCCATTTGGTAAATTAACTTTTTAAATCATATCTTTTGTAAAAACTGAATCTCGGATCATTTATTTTATTAATCTCGCAAAATACTTAACTTTTGAATTTCACACTGAAGTGCGAACTTACTTTTATATTATGGATTTATATTCTGGTTTCACATTTCCATTTTTTCTTGGGGTGACGTCATAATGTTAGCATGATACTAGAACTGTTTCATCATCTATATGAACAGGAGAATTAAGGATTTAGCGGACACACAGGATCGAGATTTATAAGAAGATTTTGCTTTTTTATGGTCAGGAACAATTGTATCTTGGGACAGCGAAATGGCGACATTATAGTGATTATGTAGAAATAAAATTATTCATAACTTACTAATCGGACGACAATATTATTGACGAATGATGATACAAAATCCTAGATTTTAGTACTGTTCATGCTGTGAGAAACGGAACCTAGAAAAACTTTATTTTGAACGCTGTCATATAACATATTGCGATTTGCGATAACGACAATAACAGGTTGATAAACATGACATAAAATAATAAAATTGATATATTATGATAACTTAATATCCAAAAGGGTGATGAAGGAATGTAGAAAATATAATTTGTCTTAAATGTGTTATAATTTGATACATTTCTGATGTTTCCACGAAGAAGGTATACACACTCACTCTTTTAAGTCGTAAGCGTTTGATATCGAATATAATAAAATGTAATTTATTTCAGTTCTACATTGAAATTCTTTTTAATTTCACCGGTCATTGTAGTATTGTATTGTGAATGGCTGGTGTATTTAACACAGCCTTTTTTATGGAACGACTTGAAGTGTAAACATGATAACTCCTGTACGAAAATCTTATTTGTTGCCGATCCACAAATACAAGGTGAACAAGCTGTACCACCACCTCTTACTATACTTTTTAACTGGGATAGCGACAGGTATGGCCTACTATTTTTAACTAAAATTTAAAAAGGTATGTTACGTACGTAATTAAAATAAATATCACTAAGTCCAGTATAGCTAAGTTTAATATTTTTTTTGTTTTGCCTTTACAAGAATAAATATTCATACAAATAAGAATATATTTCCACATTATTTCCTGATCACAATTCTATTGTTTAAAGGTACTTGAAATCTACATTCTCAGTTGTTGTCAATCACTTCAAGCCCGATGTATTGGTCTACCTCGGGGATCTTATGGATGAGGGGTCAATAGCCACCAAACTAGAGTACCATAGCTATGTAAAGAGATTAGCTCATATATTTGATCTTGATTATCCTGTTGTGGTACTTATTTATTCTATAATATTCAATAGATAAAAACAATTTATATTTTTTAACTGACATCAATTATTTGTTCTTATTTCAGCAAGTTTGGTTACCAGGGGACAATGACATCGGAGGAGAGAATGAACCAATAAAGTTTGATAAGATTACTGAATTTGGTAAAGTGTTCAATCAACCATCTGTGATAATGTACAGGAATATTACTTTCTATAAGATAAACTCTATTATGTACAAAGTACCGCAGGCATCTGACGAGCCGGATATGAATGTGAGAATTGGGGTTGCACATTATCCAGTGCTAGCTAGAGCTTTTTATGGAAGACAGGTAACTTATTTATATACTTTAAAAAAATCTGTAATACAACAAATTAATTATTTGTTTATGTTACCAAATATAAGCCACTTTGATATACTGTGTTGTATATATTCTGTTCTCTAAGAGTGTTATACTTATACCGCAGAAACAATTTTTTATGTATGATACATTTGTCATTTATAAATGGGGATATAGAATTGATTGATGGACTAAACTGTTTTGTAACTTGTGATGAACTTTGGATTTATTCTTTAATGGTATAAATGTTAAATTTGTCACACCTTTAGACTTCTGTAATTGTTTGTGAAGAGTTTTATTAATTCAATTGTAGAATTATTGTTATATTTCCTAACTTATCAAAAACCTCATAAGTCATAACATTGACTGATAGGCCTTGTATTGTTGATGTTAGAATTTTTAGTGCTACCAGAGATTAAAAAGCCATAAGACGGCTGAAAATATTAACGTTTAAAACAATACTTAAGAGGATAAAATCTGTAAGGTCATTCATTCAGTCATAGTATCTTTGTCATCTCTTTTTGAGGGTCTTAGAATCCAATGATCTATCATTCTACAAATGTGCCACTTATTTTACCCATATATTTCTTACTTTTCTAGGACACTTTTATTACAAGATTTTGTAGTTGTATTTTAATGTACCATTTTAAATATTTTTAAAGTTCACATTTCTTTCACTGTGGTGTATGAATGGAGAATTCAATTTTTTAAATTACTAGTTATCAACCCATTATGTTGTTTCAGGTAGAAAATGCTATTCATCCAGACATTTATTTCTGCGCCCATGAGCATGTATCAAAATATACGAAACAAAATAAAAATGTCGAGACGCATTTCTTGACTTCATGGGATTCAAAACTGGATGTATCATTAGATGATGGTTTTAAGTATGAAATATATGTTCCGACTTGTTCATACAGAATGGGTACAAGTAAAATTGGATATGGAGCTGCTGTTATAGGTAAAAACTTCATTTTTACCTATTGTCTTGTAAATAAAGATGTTCTTAATACAATATTATATATTTTCTTTATATTTCAGAGAACAGACAAGTAAAATACACAGTGTTCTGGTCACCACAGCGTTTCCCATATCTAATCACTTATGTTGTGTTTTTAATATTATTCTTTATTGTTTCTTGTTGTTTTGGTACAAGAAAACTGCTCTCTAGAAAAACTATAGCCAAGGGTGATGTTCTACTACCTCTTTTAAATAATACGTAGCGAAAATGATAAAGAAATATTTCCATAATTTTTTATTTCAAAGACTGTACAGGTCACAGGTTTCCATAAAAGCTATTAATTTGTTTAAAATTCTTCTTAAAAATGCAAATATAATTGATTAATATACAATAAAAATGCTTATAACCACTCAAACATATGAAAAGTCCATCTTTTCATAGTATATTGTTGTTGAAAAGAGCTTTATAAACAATTTGTCATAACTAAGAGTAAGCTTTGTTATCACAAAGCTTTATGATGTTGCCAAGAGAATGATAAGTTTAATTCTTTATGGTTGTATTTATTAAATTAGTTATGTTTTCATTTAAAGTTTATTTTTTATATGTTTGTTACAATATAGTTATACCTATAATATTGTTGTACATGATATGTTTCAACTATTGTCTTCGGAAATACAAAAAACAGAATATAAGTAAAAATTTTTAATATACTTTTGGATGTATACATTGTTTATTTTTTAGTATAAAATTACAAAACAAAAAAATTGTTCAAATATTGTAAGTCAGTCCAGTCTTGCCAAATATAGGTTTTGATATTTATTAAAGTATATAAAAATATAATTATTTAGTGTTTTATATTTTTATACCTTTGTTTGTTAAATAGGTCGTTAATGATATGGTGGTAATCATGTATATATTTAATATGATAAAACTCACAGAATTTGATAGGAGCAGTGTTCTGAACAACATGTTGATGATACCAGTAGAAATATTACATATAAGAAAATATAACAGGCCGTTGTTATTTATATTGAACAATATGAAGGGTACAGTGAAAATAGATTTTTTGTTCTGGAACATAATTTCTAACGGATACATTAGACAGAAACCGAGTAAAGTTATTGTACATAAATAAATACAGTATCCAGCATTAGCTAGAGTCCTAGATATTGGTCTATATGTATTAATGACTAATGATAAAACTATTAGTAACAAAGCACTGATTGCAAGTTTTTTAACAACCTCTCCTCTAGTTAATTTGTTGTTTTTTAATACATTCTTCATATACACAGCATATAAATATAATGATACATAACCTAGACTAGAAGATATACCTTCTCTATTAGCATTTAAGAAGTTATTTCTGTCTGTATTCCCAAAGACCCACTCTTGCAAACCGATAGCGAGCAATAATTCATGAGTACTAATGGTGATGACACTTAAAAATAATGCATTTGAAGATATTAATAGAAAAATTGTTGAAGTCAATTTACAAACAGCCAATGTAAAGAAGAAGTTCCAATGTACACCATATTCTGTGACATGTTCTTGATATTCTAATTTCTTTAATGAGACATATCTGGCAATACCGAGAATAATCAATATTGTAACAAATTTCATATTTCTCTTTAAAACGGAGGTGTAATTGCTTTTACTTATGTCTTTATGTACCAGTCCACTGATAATGATGAACAGTCCAACACCGGTGTCCATTAGGCTATATCCAAACCTTTCTGTCTTTGCTAAATGTCTCGGAAACTGTTTGAAATCTACTGCCAAAATGCAAAATCCTGTGATCAAATACGTCAGTGCTCTAAGGCATGTTATTGATTTGATTTTGTCATCTTGAAAATCATTCTTAACTAAGAGCATCTCTCTAACTTGTCTAATATCAGTCTTTCTTTTAACAACATTTATCAATATTATAATAATTACCAAATTGAGAACATAAATATAATTCGACATTCCAGTGTGAGCTATTATAAGAGGTAGTACAATTATAAAATACTCAAGTATTAACTGATATGAACTTTTCGTTCTTGGTTGTATTGCACACAACATCGCGCATTGCAACGTGAATAAAATGCACATAAATGTATGAACGGCAGTTGAGCCTTGGTTGTTTTGCATAAAGGACTCATGATATTTCTTGTATTCTGATGAATTCATGACTTATTTACTTTTCTATGATATAAAACTTATTAAAATAAACATCTGTCAACTACTATGTGCTTATCGGCTTTTTGTTTATATGCCAAAGTCAAAGTCATATGTAATTTAACAGTTAAGTTCCAATGTCTAATGTACTGTACTTCAAATCATCGACATCATAGATAATACACTATATTAGAAATATACTAATGGACGTGCAGTACGCGTATAATCTGCAGTAATTTTTTTGGTTTGAAAAGAGTGAGAGATGGCCTATGCTTTCGGTCTAGCACTATCTCTTAATTCCTTATAGATGATTGGTACTTAGTTTTCATGACAAGCACGCCATATAAATTATCCAGAAGGGGCTCATAACGTCTTAAGTACGGTACTATTTTGAGAGAGATAAAGATAGGCCGAAACTTCGTTTCCTCTCTTGCTTTCGGATTGCCACAATTCTCATCTCTACGGCGTGTCCATTAGTACATAATAAATGTCGATGCTTCAAATAGCATAAAAAGGCGTATTTTTTTTGTAAAAGTCTTTACAGCTCTGGATACGAGTCCTTTTGAGCCTGCATAAAAAGTGTACTTTATTGTGTATTTGATGATTACGACGCACTTACGCTAAGAAAGAAATTAAATGAAAGTACAAATATTATGTTGTAGATATTCTATCTGCTTTAAATTTTACTTTTTAATCTAGACCCGTTTAAATCACGTTACATTGAGTAGAAGGTAGTAATAGGAATTGTGTTAAACATAAAGTTTCTATAATCAAATCAAACTACTCAGCCGTAATATCAAAGCTCATTAAAAATTACTGTCAAATAATTATAAAAGCTGCATTAGGTAAATTTAATATTATTCTCCTCTTTTAAAACTCAAGTTACAATTTCTTTGGTGCCCAAACCTCTAAAATATATGAGTATTACTATACATCGCAGCTAACATAAGCCACTTCCTGACTGTTCCACTATTGTTTGTTTTTATTATTTTTTTCCTCTTAGACATGAATGTTGTATTCAAAAGGTTTAACTATGCGATTTTTAATTTCTTCTTCAATGAATGTCACTGTGTTTGACAACAATTGAAAGCAAATCAGAATTTTATGACATTGAGTAAGAGGCACCCACCACAGATATTTTTTTCAAAATATGTATACTAAAATTATTATTTTATGAGTAGTTTGTGACTTCTTCAAGTGTTATCAAGCGTTTTGAAATTGACTTCACTTTGTGCAAAAAAAAAACAGTCATTAAAATTATAAATAGTATTAATAAATAAATTCCCATTAAACGATATTCTGGAATAGTTTAGTTTCAATAACCGTAAAATATATTGTAAATCGTTACCTTTACGATGGTGAAAAATATCGTAAATGTACATTTTGTGTCATTATGCAAGAAAAAGAAAATAAAAAAAGTTGTTCCCCCTCGTCGCACCGTTGTACGAATATCTGAAAAAGAATGGTTTAAGAGAAAATTCCAAAGAGAATTTGATATACGATTAAAGAGTGTAATTCTTTCTAAGATTAAGGAAAAATATGAAAAACAACTAGCGAGGCGTAAAAAACTACGACCATATTATGAGGTGAATTTAAAAATATATATGGTTTAACGATTTCTGTTTTTGATGTTTGTGTTTGTTGCAGCCTCCCCGACACCATGATTATCCAGATATCGTCTGGGACGGACCACATCTGAAGTCATGTTTCTGTATGTCACCCATGCATCGCTGTGTCTGTCACGAATACATAGCGTTACCGAGACGTTCCCTCCCTTATGGTAGTTAAATAATAGTACTTCATAAAACAACTTCATCGATAAGGTTTTTGTGCATATTTTTAAAATTATATTATGTGTATATAAAAAAATAAATATCGCATTATGTATCCTTTCAAACAGTCTGTATATGTAAATATATACAAATTTTCATTTTCAGTTAGGAACCTAACATGTTTTTCGTTGCTTCAAATTTTTTGTCTAAATGGCTACATAGCCACACATTTTTAAAAAAAATACAGGTATTGGCTTAACTTTGCCGATTAAGTAAGCTAGATACTATTTAAACACGTTCTGCGACGTGACAGTGCTCAGAGATGAGCACAGAATCTGCCTTGTCCGCTGATCCGCTCAGTCGGAAGAGAACGGGTGAACAGAACCGAGACTATGTCTATGTTTATGAGGAAAAGGGGAATAAAACAACTGTCTCACTTCACGTAGATCTATATCGTAAGGATGTTCACATAGTTCGAAGCACTTTTATGAATTGTTTGGGAAAATTCACCCAAACCTAGAATTAACAAGTGAACCAGCGGCCAATCCTTAAGGAGACGACGGTAACCGTTAGAGTTTAGTTGGACTTGGTACTCCCAGGTTTATCAAGGAATCCCACTCCCGCCACCGGGACCTCTTTGAGTCGGAGAGTAGTAATAAATAGCATCCCCAACGAGAAAACAAAGGGGAACCAGACGTTTATAAAATATGCGAAATACAAATTAAGTCTGACAACATAGTTTTTTTTAAAAACAGTCATTAGTAATATTCTTAAAAATCATTGCTGCTAAGACCGAACATATAGTAACTTTAGACGTTTCCATTATTTAGGTATATCTAACTCATTATTGCCCGCCCGGAGGCTATATAGAAAGTGGAGGGGTTTAGAAGATAAGGATTTAATTCTACCGAGCAAACCTTTCGTGACAAGGTTGATAGAACACATCGGGATAGAAAAGAAAGTGCAACAGAAGCTAAAAGAAATGGACAGTGAGTTACGTCACTACATACAACACAAAGGATTCACAGATTTTTGTTCTTAATATCTAGTTTTCCGTTTCAGGCGACCGAGGACTTGATTTTTGTATCATGAGATGTCACCATCGATTTAAAAAGCTAGGCAAAGATCACCCGTGAGTATATACTTGTATAGATATGTAGCATCAGTATAATTCAGAAACTTACATCAGGATTCCGTTCGGAATCGACGGTTAAAAATATCTTGTTAAGAAAATTGGATATATCCCAAGTAACCATTTATCAATATATATACCTATTACTAGCTTCTGTTTGCTGCCTGGAAGGAATTTACAAGTTGGGCAAATAAATTTTAGGAATCAATACTATATGAATTTTACTACATATGTAATAAATTCTAAGAATTAGTACTACACTATAAATATACTCCTACTTGTCATAAACGTGAATAATCTTATTAATTTATTTCTTACCAATTAGCTTTAGTTAAAAACCTTATCTTATACCTGTTATATCCTTTTAATAAAATTTATTTTCTAGATATTTTAAACAGAGGCAGGATGTGTATAATGAAATCATGGACGCATTGAGAGCCCCAAAGGTGAGCATTATATATTTTCTTTGTTTAACAATAAACTTAGGCCTCTGTTGAGAAACTTACGAAGATATTGTCTCATTCACATCTCGTCTTATGATCACGGCTGCTGTAAAGTAACCGAAACGTCGGGAATATGTAGTTTATAATCAAAAATAAAAAATCATTTAGTTAATCCCAAAAAAAAATTCGTTTCATTTAGAAGATATTGTCTTCTTGAAGTCATGATTTTATTAAATATGTTTTAGCATATAAATTTTATTTGTACATATAATGTAAAATTATTTCAGGCGCTGACAATATAATAAAACAATATATGACATAGTCAAATCATTCAGTTTAATCGGTAAAACATAACAAACAGTTGTTTAATATGAACGTACTAAAAAAATATCCTTTACATGCTCTTGGGAGTTATACGCTTGTTTCAATTTTAATTTAGTTTTAATTAACTCAGTACAAGCAAGTTTTTTATGTGTGTCGAAAATATTTATTATCATTAATTTTGGCAACAGTAACAATGATATCTGTTCTACTTATAAAGAGGATTTAGTGTTTTTTTTAATATTATTGTTATTGTAATATCTCAGCCTCTACCGCCGCCGCCTTCCAAGCCGAAGCCGGTTGTGAGGGGTCCGTGGATATCAGACTCTTACACAGAAGGCTACTATCGTTCAGGTATAAATAAAAACGGTCGTTTGGTCAGTTACAATATATTTTAAACCTACCACGAGGTTCACTTGCACCCTTAGTATGGTTCTTTGTCGAAACACTTGAACGTTTACTTTAAGCTCGAAGTTAAATATTTTTACTAAGAATCTTATTCACTCTGAAAACAGAGTGACCCAGCTGATATTGAAGTTGTAATATTTTTTGACAGTTTCCACACAAGCTACGACAGACAAAAACGGTGAATTTATCATAGGCAAATTCTCCCATATTCTATTCGGGAGATATTCCTCTTATTTTCAAGATATAGAGGGCACAGGGCTGTGTCTGAACTCATATCCAGAGTAAGAATTCTTTCGCACCAGTTTTGTATTGAGAAGATTTTCTTATCTCCTATTTTAATCTGCATCTCATAATTGTTATAGAAAACAGAAAGAGAAGGTCATCAGACAAATTGAAAATCTGTTAAGTATGACAAGGTGAGTTCAGAAACACAAGGAGATAAATAATATCGTACAAATAATATAGAAACCTAAATAAATTTAACTTAAAAACCTCATTGCAGAACGAAGGTATCTAAGTTTACATTAAATTTTATGTCGTCGATAATGGAGATTAAAGGTAAACTTCAGTTGAATATTTGTTTTAGATACTGATGGTCATTTTTATTTTAACCCATTTTATTATTTATAGATCCTGGAATTCCTATGAATTCAGTGTAAGTTTATTTTGATACATATATTTTGTATATAAAAATATAAAATAATAATTTTAATATTATATATCATAGTGCCACACAGGATCCCCCACTTGGTTACTGTTATAAGTCCATAATCATACCCTCAAAAACTGCATTTATGAGAGAAGTTGGTTTTGGAGGGTGTCCTCCTTGTAGGAACGTCATAAAAACTCAGGAACACGACCCAGGTGTCTCAGACAGAGACGTCATTCCAAAAGATGAAATCAAACCAACATCGGATGAAAAAAATAAAGATATAAATGAAAACGAAATGAAAGAAAATCAAGACCCTGTAGCGAAAGATATGGAAAATGATCCTAAACTAAAAGCCGCAGATCTTGTGTTACAAAAACCTGTTCTATCAGAGGTAAGGTATGTGCGAGACGAAATACTGGGTTCTGTGAATGAAAATACTGAAATAAAGGAAGGAATTCCAGTAGCAGCAACAGCTGGGGAAAGCAGGTTAGATGGTGACAAAAACGAAGATATAAAAAACAATAATTGTTGCGATGACAATTTACAAAAAGTTGACCCAAAAAGTTCCTCACAAGATGATAAAGACGCAAATAAAAATACACCAATAGCACAGAACCTCACGATAGATTCAAAAATAGTTTTAGAAAAGAAATCAGTTGAAACTGAAGGACGGAATGACGGTGTTAATGAAGTAAAAATTGCTTTTCTAAACATAAATAATGAACGACAAAGCGGCCCTGTATTTAGAGGATCTATTAAGTCGAAAGATAACCTTCATAACTATCTGGAATCCAAATTATCTCTTACCGAACATATTGAAAATGTGTTTGAAGAATTGGTGACTAGAGGGCATAACCAAACTGTTAGAAAGAAGGAAAGACAACTGGACCAACAAAAAGACCAAACAAGATCTGATGACGAAACTTATCGTAAAATGAGAGAAGAGTTAATGAAAGCCATCGAGAATATAGTCCTTAATGCGAAATCGAATGCTATTCAAAACGTCGATACAAAATTTAATATAATCGAATCCATAAAATCTAAGTTCACACTTAATATATTCTTGGATTGCGTAAGAAAAAACACACGGTCACTCAAAGAAAAATTCAAAAGAAATGACGGGGAATCCTTAAAATCACAAATAACACGGCTGTTTAGATTAGAAGACGCTAAATTAAAAATAAATAATTTGTTTGAAAAAATTAAAAGCAGTCTGATATCATTCTTAAAAAGTCGTCAGGAAACATTAATAAATGTCACTAAGAATTTTTTGAAATTTAAAGAGACAAATTTAAATATAAATGAGTCAAGTGACATCAAACGTGAACAGAATTCAAGGGTCGATGTGGAGCAGAAACTGCCTGAATCAACAATAAAAACTATCACAGAACCACAAAGTCATAGCTCATATGATATTTTGCCAAGTAATAGTAAAAAATAAACTTTAAATTATATTGACCGTACCAATCCATACAATAATTGCAATATAAATAAATCTTGTTTGGAAATGTTATTTAGGAATAACAAAGAAGTAAAACTTAAGTGTCACATTCAAATAAACGTCAATAATTCAATCGGAAAAACTTTTTTCAAAACAAAATATATGTTAAATCAAAAATGGAGGGGTGTAACAGTAAATCAAAAACGGAGGGGTGTAACAGTGAATGTACAGGGGTCATTAAGGTTCCATTCGAATGTAAATCTGATGATATCAGTGTAAATGAACCGGCCGCGGATGTGAGTGACGAGGAAAGTGAACGTAAGTCCGTTAGTTCCCTTAAAACGAGCAATGTTGAGGATGTTCCGCCCAGGGAAGGGGTTTTTAAACGAATTTGGAAAAGAACATTGGAACTCAGAAGACGTATTAAAGAAAACAAAATCAAGAAGAAGAAGAGCGAGGAAGGAAAATCAAAAACCGTGAAGGTTAAAAAGGAAAAAATTAAGAAACCTAAAGAAATAGTGCAAACGCTCAATCCCGAGGAGTTTACGGGGGATAGGAAGTGGTTGTGGGACGAGTTTGAACTGGGCATAGGAGTCCCTAAGAGAGTGGACACGACACCATCGACAGCGCTGAGAAACGTACGATTCCAGAGATTTAAGAGGTTCGTCCCAGAATCATATTTTTATAATGTAAGTGTTTTGTATTACATAATAACAATAATATAATATTTATATGGTCCCTCATGTTATGTTAAAACAAATGCAGGAACCGAAAAAAAGAGATGCAGTGTTTCTGTCATCCAAGACACCGATAAAGAAATGTATGTGTCCTCTTAGAGAATGTTTTTGTATCGACAATGATATGAAGAAAAAGAAGTGTATCCCTGGTACTTCATATAAATTTTACCATCGAGCATTCTACTATGAACGATATACTAAGCAATATATGAATCATTATTAACATTTCTGTACTTAAAGGTTGGTGCAGAATGAATTTCCTATCCGGGTATATAGAGATACCGATAGACATACCGCGCTTGCATTTGTTCGATCTATGTTGCAGAAGACCAAAAATTAATCGTTACGTAGAAAAACTAGAAGCAACGGTGGACAATTTGAAACCGCCGATGGGACTTCGTAGCATGGGGAAAGGTTAGTCCTTATAAAATACTCACTCGCATCTCTGTTTTAAGATAACTTTTTAAAAACAGTTAAGGGTACCGTTTTTCTCGACTGAACAATATAATAATCATGAGTCTTTAGTACAAAACCTAATTAAAGTAAAACATTTTTTAAAATGTCACTTAACAACAAGATTTTTTAAAATTAATAAAATTGTTTTCCTTGCAGTGAATAAAGAATTTTGCATAACGAAATGCAAGAGATGTCAGGCGAAAGCCGGGTTCCAGCATTTTCAGTAAGTTTCCATTGAATGTTATAATCTTATCTTTTATTTCATATATAATATCATTTTTAATATCTCTTATTTCTATGTCTAGATATGTACCTACTTTTCCTAAGAGTCATAAAACTATCTTTGATGAGAAAAGCAGTCAGCCTCAAGAGGATGAGGTAAGATTATGATAGGTATACACTAAACACTAATTAAGATTCAATTGGTCTTCTTAAATGTTTGAAATATGTTCTTATATGCGTGATTAATGACGAGAGTACTTGTTTGAAAAGAAGTAGTATCTATAAAAGTCGTAATAACAGTGGCTCAGTGAATGTCGTAGAGTATTATTGCCTCTAAGGGGCAACGTCATCTTGAGTTGGAAGTTTTAGCTATACGTTCACTAAAATATTCCTATTGTTACTGTAAACAGAATTTATTTGGAACATTCTAGTAATCAGATCGTTGTATATGAAATGGTTTCGAACTTTCTTTAGAATCAGTGTTTCGTGAAACATAATACAAGTGATACAAGCGACATTACTTGAGATCTCAATAAAGTAAATATTTCTGTTTTGTTTAATGTTGTATTATTGATAAGAAGTAAAACAACAATTATCAATTTTTTTTGCAATTCATATGACGGGAGGGCCTAATTTGATTTAAAAAGACATACAATTACGACGTGTTGCACCATAAGTTTGAACACGTACTATACCGTACATAACTTCATATTATTAACATGAGTTAATTTTATATAAAACATTCAGGTAGACAATAAAAAAACAAATGGACAGAAGAAAAATAGAAGAAGGGTAGGTCAAAAGAAACTACCTAAAGAACCTACAAAGGAAGAACCAACTGAAAAACAAAAAGAAGATCAAATCGAACCCCTAAAGGAAGAATCAAACAAAGAACAAAAGGAAGAACAAAACGTAGGTCAAGCAGAAAAACAAACAGATCAAAAGAAAGAAACAATTGAAGAAAGACCAGAAGAACAAAAGGAGGGACAACAGAAAGAACAAAAAGAAGATCAAACGGAAAATAAACTGGAAGAAGCAAAGAAAACACAAGAAGAACAAAATAATAAAGAAGAAAACGAGGACGAAAAAATGGAAGAAACAATAGAAGAAAATGAAGAAAGTGAGAACAAAGAAAGTGAAGAAAGAAAGAAATTACACTGCAACTCGTACTCCTGCACTGGTGAGAGAGAGATACTAATTTACCTGTACATTTAGTATTTACCTATACATTTTTGTAATAAGAATTTATAGTTCTCTTTTGCTAGTAGAGCAGAAATTGTCAATTTGTGGAGGATGGTTTATAAAAAGCTATAGTGGAATTTATAAATTATTAAAATATATAAAATTCTGTATTTCAGTTTGGACTCAGACGGAATTTGGACCTAATGGCGAATTAGACATAACAACATTCTCACATTTAGTATTTGCAAGCGTCGAAAAAATTATTCTGCCTGATATAACAGGAACAAAGCTGTACCTAAACCAATGCAAATAGTATGATTACAATATCATTTATATCTTCTTATTTATACGTATCTTTATAAGTTTCATTAGAGTTAAAATATGTTCAATTAGGCACCAACGATTATTAGTTGAAAATATTTTTAAACTAACTTATTTTTATTTTTAAATTGTTAAAACATATTGGATTTTCTTTTAATTTCATTTAATTGTATTAAATACGGTTATTTGTTTTTCTCAGCGTCCCTGATTGTTCCCCTGTCGATTCTGAGATGATGCTCAGGAATATGGATAAATTACTGGATGTAAACGAGTATGTAATACTGTTAATAAATTATTTTTTGTGATATTTTCTTTTTGACTGCACTCAAATAATGTTTTCAGAATAAAAAGTCATTTATCTAAATTAGTATCTTCGTTCTTGGAACTTCAAGGTAAGGATGTTTTGTGATGACCGTTTTATTAAATATGGAAATAGCAAAAATTAATAAAATGTTTACTTGCACATTCAGATCTCCCGAAGAAATTAAATAAAACTAAGATTCGGTTGGTACATTTTGATGTGATTTTTGTTACAATATGTAGTTTGTATTTCATTAAATATATTATATTTTTGTTCAGCTTTGGCTCATTTATGGGTTGTGACAACGAGACCTGCCCAAAAATTCAACCAATAAAACACTCTGATATAAGTACAGCTAAAAATAACCATATTAATTATGATAAGGATATATCAGAAGCAATAAGAGGAAAAGGGATTATTTGTACAAATAAAATGAATAAATGCGATAACCCTAATTGTTATGATATTCATAATAATGCTTGTGAAAATGAAGCATCTGTAGTGGAAATTAATAAAGTAAGCAACGCAAATGTTAATACAGTACTAAGAAGTGATGTTATTCTATGTAGTAATGACAGTGATGAAAATTTTAAAAACAAAATTGTAATGGAAAGTGAAAGGAATGAGAGTAGCTTACAAGAAATCCCAGGAAATATGGAGAATAGTGACAATAAACATGAGAAAATTAGCAGCTGTCACATTTTAAATGAAACAAAAGAAAACAATTCTCAAGAAGGTTTCACAAAAACAGAAGTAACACTAGTTAAACTACCTCCGGAAGATAAAGACACCGTCCGAAAAAATACTAATAGCGATGAGCTTAAACTAAACATGTGCCCAAATGAAGACCCAAAATTGATGTCTCAGATTAGGTTTATACAAGAAATAATTTTAGATAATTATGAAAATTCGTTGAATACTAATACTAAGATATTAGACGACAATCAACAGACTGCTATCAAAGATAATGAAAATGAAACAGGTTCACTAAAAGAACCTGACAGAGATCAAGGACTCAAAAGTCAAAAAGATTCAAAAACATCGAAAGACAAAGTAGACTCTGCGGAAAAGGTTCTACCAAAAAAGTCGACGTATACTTTTTCTTCGACATACAGATGGCTCATGGACAAATTATTTACATCCGAACAAATGAAAAAGAAATTATCTGCCAAGTCTTGTACAAACGATTCCAAGTTAAAACTAAAGAAATCAGGAATGAGCGAAAGAGAAGTGTTCTCAATGAGATACACCAGCACCGCGAGCATACAGAAGAACTCTAGTGAGGGAAACAATTAACACTTTTGATGTTCTTATCTGTTAACAAGAAAAACGGGTGCGTTTACAAATCACGATGTGTATGTCTGTTTCGGTTTGTCTGTTTAAATAAAAAGTAATACATAAAAATCTTAAAAACTTTATTTTCTTAATATAATTTAACACAAAGACTAGCTTATATCTAATTTGTAACTCTCTACAACGGTATAAATAAATTTACATAAATATCGAAGGGGCTCGTGATGTCACGATTCTCGATGTGAACATCTCGCCGCGTGGCGTAGACTTAGGGTTTAGTTTTCGAAGTCGTATGCTGACGGCCGTTGTGGGCGTCGCTGCACCAGCGGGATGTTGACCTCCTCAGCTGAACGGAACACTTGGGCCGGGGGACGAGCGGCTGGCCGGGGGGCGGGGGGAGCGGGGCGACGGACTTGTTCCTCCTGGAAGGGGGGGGGGAATATTAGAATTGATAAGTTCAGCTATATATGAGAGCAAGTTCTATAGAAGATTGTCATGTATTAGTATTGTACGATTGTAGTAATAGTTAACATTTATTTATAGCACCTTACTTCTCTATCCTACCTAGATTAAGTAGATTAATATTGTTATCAATTTCGTTTCTTAGTTTTTAACTTTGTTTAAACCTAGTTTTTATTTTGTTTTGTTTTATCTTAGTTTTATACCGTTTAGTCTGTATTTTAGTAAAAAAACAATGTTGTATACACTTGTAAAGGCAAATCATACTGGATTGAATATTTAGTGCATTATAATATTGTGTTAGTTATTATGATAAGTCGATGGTGTATCTTAATAAATAAATCCACTGACCTCTTCGTCCTCGTCCCTGTCGTAGCGGTCGTCCCTGTACACCTCCTGCGGGTAGTATCTGTCGGAGTACTTGAGCGACACGTTGGGTTTCCGCTGCACCTCCTCCTCGTTGATGGGTCGGTACAGGTAGTCGTTGACGAAGTGGTAGCTGGACGACTTCTGGCAGATGTTGTCGTGAGTCGGCGGCATGCAGATCAAGTGGACCTGTGGAAAACATTAAATTAACACATTTACCAATAGTCATTAAACTTATATCACAAGCTTAGTTATCTTTTTGCAGTTATATCACGATCGTTGTGCACGTATTAACATTTAAATAGTTATACTCACTTGGTGGAAGGTGAATCCGTCTGGGCAGATCCAGGAATGCTTAACATTATCCTGGCAGTAGTGGAACACCTCACAGTTGAGGTCCTCGTCAGCGTAGTATCCCGTGTTCTTGCTCACACAGTTGAACTTGGACTGCTGCAGCAGTTGAGACAGTCGGTCCGGCTCCTCTTTTTCTTCGAGTTCTTCCTCTGACTCTTCCTGCTGGTACTTGATAGGCCGCTGTTCCTGTTGCTAAAGTTATATAAGTATGGAGTAGAATGTAAGTTATACTTTTGGTTTACTAAGCGTTTTTTTTAATACTACATAGTCTCGACGTTTCGGTTTACTTGAACATAAATAAATTTTAGTTTTATTTAAATGAATACTCGCGAACATCTTACATCTCATTATGGAGTTGAATTTTATAATAATTTTAAAGGAGCTCAATAATTTCATTTTTGTTTCGTCTTTATGCTCTATATATGTTAGTATGTTCTTGTTTAGTTTACCTTCCGTTGTAGAGGTCTCTGCGGCCGTTGTTCCTCCACGTATTGTTGTGGTCTCGTCGGTACTATGTACTCCTCGGACTGCTGTCTCTGGTACCCAGCCAGCTCGGCCAGTGAAGGTGTCGGTCTGAACCCAGTCGGTAGAGCGTTGGGGTACGCGGCTGGTGTGTTGTAGGCTCGCGGCCGCAAGTTACGAGATTCCTATTGATATAAATAATTAACTAAGTATAAAAATTTGGACATAATTCCTGACAGACTTTATAAAAGCTACACTCCAAATTTGTTTCATGGTTTTCGCATTATACTAAGCGTATTTTATTATTTTAAAGAACTACATACTCGTAACGTTTCGGTTACTTTTCAGCAACCATAATCACGTTTTTTTTCTTCAAAAAATAAAATACGCATAGTATAATCTGAAAACTATTTGTTTCGTTTAAATGAATACTCGTGAAAGTGTTAGATGTCATTGTTCAATGTTAATTTTGTAATTTAATGGACAATTTGTATACTTATTAAATTTATATTCTCGCTTCGTCATTATTTACGACACTCGTCATCTACGGTCAATGGTGTCATAATAGTGTAAGGTGAGATCTTTGAGCTTTAATTACTTCAAGTCGTTTCTATAGTGATTACTTAAGTGTTTTAAATTCTTGTTTTATTTATTAAATTTCGCACTTTAGAAAATGATAGAAAATCTTGTTAATATATTGTTCGTATTAAAAATACCTAACGATTACACGTTAATTTATTTTCATTTCAATTATACGTCAAATATCTACTTTAATAGAAATATTCTTTTTTCAGTAATCTATCACTAAAAAATCTCTAGATTGCATTGAATTATTTTACGTTTTCTATAAAAAAAAACTCCAATTATCAGACTTAATGAAGGAATGAATTTAAAAATATCAAACAGCAATGACGTCAGTGGCGAGACAAACAATACAACCCACAGTATTTGTAGTACAGAACTGATTGTAACAAGAGACAATGGCGTTACGAAATATGTTAATGTGAGTCCTACTGAATGTGTTCAATGGTTATAAATAAATCTAATAGATATTATTTCATAAAATTAAACATATGTATTGCCATCTGTTGATTCTACACTAGGTTGACTGTAAATTAAATAATTAAAACATAATAATATTAACAAAAGCTATTTTCACGAACTACAATAAGCATTTCAATCTTAGTATGACATTATAAGTTGTAAGAGTCGTATCATAAGGGTAATTAATAGTATAACTTAATGAACCTTCACACGAGAAGTTAAATAGTAAAATTGTCAGTGTGAAGGTTCACGCTTTTCATGCTGTTTCGTTAAATACATAATTAAAATTACAGACGTAACTTTATGACTATTTCAATATGAACTCAAACTATTACAAAGTTTATGCATAATATAAATATTTAATATTCTCTACAGCATAATATGTATAAGTATCTCTTTAACTGGTACACATTCTTAAAAATTATTTTCGACATTAATCATAATGGTGTGTATCGCATACGAAATTACGTTCTAACAAGTACAACACTATCTTTCATTAGTCAGCCTTTTATCTGAATAATAGCACGAAGCACATATTCTTATACATATCTAAAATGTATTAAACCTTTTTTTCATCTACTATATGTAATTTTTTAAAACACGTCTATGTAGGTATTATTGTTTATAAAATAAAGACTATTTATTCTATAATATGCAATCGCTACAATAAGAAATATAACATGTTTAAAGGGAAAGTAACGAGGGCACTATTTATTATAGAAAGGGAAAATATCAAGCAAAAGACAAGAAAATATTATTTAACATACGATGTTTTCCCACGCAATAGATCTGTATGCGACACAACAAAAGGTCGTTAGTATGGAAAAATATAAATCCGCTCACGTAATATAGGTACATTTATAAAACAGAGTTTTTGTTATAATTTGTATTAGAGGTGCTATATTTACAATGTATGGTGTTAAATCTTTCCGCGTATTACACAATGAACAGGTCGGATAACTTTATACAGATATTTAATACGAGAGCTATAGACTCTTCAGACACTGAATATGTTGCACGAAGCTACATAATCAAAAATCAAATATTGTTAAATTTATTAATATTACAAAGATATATGTAAAATATATGCACCATTAGGTAGGTTTTTTTATTAAAAAAGGCGTGCAAAAATACTATTACGTTCTAAAACACCTTCATATTCTGTCTTAGTTTGACAGATACGCGAATATTGAATTTGAAATTATAAAAAACGTTATTATTAAACGAAAGTAGCAAAAAAATACATAACGTGATTAAAATAAAAATAAAATCTAACACATACTTTCTACTTTCTCTTTCTATTTAAATACCAAAAGAACAATAAAAAAAAACTCGCTCAATAAACTCGAATTGCATTTATATTGATTGCTGTCAAAAAACTACAAGGTGAAATTTATCGCTGCTTATTCATTTTTTGCTTTTAAAATAACGAGTTAGATTGAAATAATATAATTTTAAATTGCTATTAAGATTGTATATGTATTTATTATTTGGTTTATCAGAAGCATTCCGTGTTACGCGTTGCATTTATTACGTAAGATTGCTTGTGTATGTTTTACGTGTGTTTTAATAACCCGTCCTGTTACGTGTCCGTAGCTCGATCCCTTTTACAATTTACTTCTTGTGATCTTACGTCAACAGTCGCTGTATACTTTGATATCGAATACATGTTCAGAATTGAATTTGTTATCATATCTTTTTGTCGGTTTCAGCCATTTTATGTAGTTTAGGGTATATAGTAGAAACGGTCTACCTCTTGACAAATTGTTATTCATGCTCTAGAGATTATTTTAAATTTTACAATTATTAAGCGTCATATTTCTTTTAATGTTTACAAAAAAAAAACATTTTTTTTTTCAAATCACGATTAACAATCATGACATTTTCATCCTTAATGTTGATTAAATATAATCTTGGAATTAATAAGTATTTTTTGTATTATCTCATAGTTTCTATACAACCGGCTATTAATCTCAGCACTAACTATTTACCAACTTGACATTACATATTAAGCAAATACTATCAAGTATATTATTCGTCAAGTTCCACTATATCATTATATGTTATCCCTACTAATATTATAAATGCGAAAGTAACTCTGTCTGTCTGTCTGTCTGTCTGTCTGTCTGTCTGTCTGTTACGCTTTCACGCCTAAACCACTGAACTGATTTTAATGAAATTTGGTACAGAGATAGAGTTGACCTTGGGAAAGAACATAGGATAGTTTTTATCCCAGATTTTTGAAAGGTTCTCTTGGAAACGCGATATAACCGAACTCCACGCGGGCGAAGCTGCGGGCGGAAAGCTAGTTGAACATAATTGATCATTAATTTTGTAACACTACAGAATTCCAATACAAATTCTGTTGATTTCCTAATAAAGGTGAAGCTAATGGAAAAATAACTTTATTTCAAACGATGTAGGTACATTTTTGTATGGTTTAATTACCTCTTGTTTCAAGGCCACCTGATCGTCTTCTTCTTCAACACCAGCGTCGGGGATGTCATCATCTTCTTCAGCGACCACGGCTCCCAGCAGCAGGAGCGCCATCAAATAACTCCATCTGGAAAAAATACAGAATTAATCTTTACTTACATGGAACTAAGTTTCGATGATTGACTAGTCTATTACTTAATACCTAGTTACGTACGTCATAGAATTTTCATTTTAATGAGTATTATATTCTAAAAAAAATTACTAATTTCTATAACAGAAACGTGAAAGAGAAAATAGTCATACGTATTTTCATAAGCCCGTATTATAAAGAGTACAGTCGTACACAATCACATTGTACTAGTCTGTACTAGTCTTGACTGTACATAACCTAACCGCAAGGAATGCTTGCATCAAGTCATTGAGTTGCCGACCTGAAGTGCAACTATATTGTGGTCAACATTTCTTCACTGCACCTGCAATCCCTTTGAGAACAGCTTTGGCAAAGACTTAAATTATTTTGACCAGACTTTTCTACATTTACATCGCTTGAATAACGTATTTTTGAGTCCTTATAATCTTCTATATAAAAATAAACCGAACTAAACTAAATATTTATAAAAAATTCATAAACTTTGATAATTATGACATTCATTTTTGTATTTATAAATACAGTATTTTTAGCCTGTGAACATGATATAATCTTAGCTATGTCCGATAAAAAACATCCATATTTATTTATGGTATATGTAGGTTACCATAGACAAGTATATTTATAATAGTAACGCAACCCAACTAGGCCTAAGGAGTGGTATATTCACTTATGGATCGCCACGAGCTGGTTCATGTGGTTACATGATGTTTTTAAAAACAGCCTCCGGGTGATGTGTGGACTCGTTTTATTTAAGATATTGAGATTACGCAATGCTCTTTAGAAATTTAACGCAAACGAAAAGGAAGCAAGTGTGAATACAGTTACGTGAGCCGAATACAAATATTATAATTCAAGAAGATAATACGAGTTTACCTCGGTTTGACAGCATGCGTAGAACGAATTAAATGTCACTTGGGTAATGTTTGACATGAAATGCAAAAAAAAGCAAAATTCAGTGTTGCCATAACAATAATAACAATATTAAAGTATTTTTTTTATTAAATTAATAAAATAAAATAAGTAATATTATGAAATACAAGCATCTTTTGTCAGAATCTAGGAATAATTTATCAGTAAATATTTAAAGCATTAGGTAACTCTTAAGTAATTTAATCAAAAATTCTATTGTACTTCAAAACGAGACCAATGCTCTGTACTTTCTCTGTTAAATTCATCGAGTCGTGAAATAATATCTTGCGTACACTTTTAATGTGTTACAACAATTTTCTAAAACGCAAGCAATCTTTTTCCCAACGATTAGGCTAACCGTAGCTAATTAATTTTTAACTTCTCATTTTGGTAACGATATTTTTAATCAAGATAGTCTATAATTGAATAATTTTAAGGCAATTTCTATGTCTGTAATTAAATATATTCTATGTTTTGCTGGGAACTGAATTTTATTAATCTATCAATGAATTCTTTTCTTTAATTCTTGCTAGTACTGCTATTAAATTCACAAAGTTTGTCCTAAATAACTGAACAGATATTTCTGACTCACGACTCCACAATTATGAATACCTACTTACGAAATTGCATTGTAATTTAAATTGCCGTTTACTTGTAAATTGTAAATATGATACGTGTCTTCATACATACAGTACATGATATACTTCACTAGGGTGGACTTTAAATGAAACTACTTAGTTTCATTTAAATGAATACTCGCCAAAGTCTTACATCTCATGAGGGTAAATTTTGTTGATGAATTTAAGGGTATGAAGTGAAAGATGAATTTCAATATAAGTTTTTATAAAAAGTTGTTTTAGATTTTGAGTATAAATATTTATCAGTAAATCGTAATATATGAATCCTTGCAAGGGAGAAGAGAAAAAAATCTCTTAAGAGAACCGATCTCATCAATTTCCAGGTGAAACATTTGAACATAAAGGAAAAAAAACGAAAACGATCTCTACCATTTCACGCAACAGTTCTAAGTACTAATATCTGTTGTAATGGATAGTTATCTGAAGAAACATTTTTTAGACTTCTTTTTTTTATGAATCTTTTTATGTACTAACTTATACTGAATTTGACCAAAACTTGTTAAAATAAGAAATAGATAAAATAATTAAGAATAAAATAGGTGTGGATATATGTTTTTTAGAAATCGTATATTTATTATTAGTCAAACGTTTCTGTACCGGTTAATAATGTATACAATGAAACCTTATTTATATGTGGCAGAAAAATATCTGGCCGTCTAGAGAGAAAAAAAAATCTCTGGAGCTTTAGAAAACACCTAGAATCATGACGAGTATTTTAGAGGGAAAGGATTTGCCTTCAAGAGGCAAGACGGTCAAATCTTAACTAATATTTTAATAAAAAGATGTTTACAAAGAGGTCATAATTTTTTTATCACAAACGAATTTTTTAAACAAAATATTTGAACAAACAAAATGATAGTCTCAGGACTGGAAGCATTCAAGAAGCTTTGCAATAAGTTTACAGAGTACACGTGGACACGTGGCTAAACCATTTGATGGTAAAAAGTATAGAAATAGAAGAATTATTTATCAAGATATCTTGAGGTGGTAGTAAAATGCATGAACTAATGATAGATATTTTTCATCTTCGTGCACCACTCAGAAATGAAGACTTGCCAGAATTCAGCCCTAATGACCAGAACATATTATATCTATAATTTTTACCAAATTATTTTTTTTTAAATTCAGATAATATTCGACTATAACTTCATTACAAAGTTTACGAAACTTGTGAAAAATGACATTTCAAATTAAAATTTTGTAACAAAGAAACTAAATAAACAAACCATTAATAGAATAATAAATGAGTTTTTACAAATATACAAAAAGTAATTGAGATCTGAGTCAGGAGATTGAGTAAAAAGTAATTAATCTATCTGACCTCGCGTTTCATCACTTCATAATAAACGAGGATCGAATGATCGAAACTGAATACTTTACTTAGAGTTGTCATTGTTATAATATTATAGTTTATAAAAAAAAAAACAATGTGACCGAATGTACACAGACTATATAAAAAGAGACATCGGATAAAAAAAAAACGAAGTTAAGAGTAAAAATAAATTATTTAAAATTCTTACGTTTATTAGAGAAGACAATTTGGTCATGTTTTTAGTTATTGGAAATTATTCATCTGTTTTTTATAATACTTATTTTGTTACTTACCCGGGCTGAGAGCTGCTTTTATTTTGATCATTAATATAATAAATAACATTACTTTAAATTCAACACTTACTCATTGTTCAAATATATTTAAAATGATTAAATTCTAACCTGTCTATAATTATTGTTGCAATGGTTTTATTAAATCTTACAAAAAATATACAGATATGTATTAATTTAATATCTGTTATTCAGCAGCCGGAAATGTCACTTTATATAATAATAAAATGTGTCATAACATTTCGCGGGTTTTTTATTATCGTCTCGGTCTGGTGCAAGTAATAAATATACAGAATCAATGATATGATATAAGTCCGTTGACTGACCAGATCTTGAAGTGCTGACTCAGAATGACTTTTTTCCCTCACGCCGTGTGTTGAAGCGACTTTACCACTGGATTTCACTTTCAACTGTTGCGTAATCATTCCCGGTGCGTAAATGAAACAATTTGGCCCCATATAACTTGTTTTGTTATTATAATGTGCTTGACAGGCGTCAAATTTAATATTAAGTTGATTAGTAACACCGAACGGGGGCGATATTTTAAAAAATGAAGTTCTCTGAAGTACAATTAGGTTTATATATTAATTTATATTTTTAGCTCACTTCAAAATACTTCTCGTTTTTTTGGATCTAAATATATTTTACTAGTTTTATTACACTAAGGGATTGGTAGATATTATTAATAATTTACAATAGGTAAGACGGGGTAAACATTACGGTAGTAACAATTAAATCAAAATTCGTTTTTTTTTTCAATAATGGAACAAAATGTCGTTCAAAAGAGTTATTTTTGATTACTTTTTGATTTTCGTCTAGCATTGCATTTTTTTTTAATTTGGGAATATTTATTATACAAACTTACATAGAAAATTAAAATTGATATGAAGAAAAAATTGATTTACAATTAAATGTTGAAGTTTCATACACCTTTTGACTTATAAAAATTAATTTCCATTTAACTTAACAAAAATCAAATTCGCTTTTTTTCTTAAAAAGAAAGAATACTCTAATCTCATCATTTAAATTATTAGAATCAAATTAGAGTATTCATGATATTATTTTAAATTAAACTTTACTTAGTTTCAATGTTCAACGAATTATAATCTTATTTAAACACGATAATATTTTCATATGATTTACTAATAAATATTAAACATTAACTTCATCACGTTTCTAAACGATGTTTTTTATGTATTTTCACTATTAAATCCATTGTTTGTAAACATTTACGATCGTTCGTATTTCAAAGAGTCGTTAATAAAAATTGAATGGCGAAATCATTACAATTAGCTTGGTACTTAATCTAGATTTTAGAAAGTAGAAAATGTATCGTATTCCTATTGTAAAGATCTTACAAGGTCGTGTGAGGCTCGATTTTTAATACACCTTAAATAATTTGAACATTGACACTATTTAAATCTCTGCTTGGCCTGATTCGTGCGTTTAAATTGACAATGGCTGAACAGATTATGTCAATCTGTTGGTCAGTTGTCATTTAATAGATTATAAAAGTCTGTTACTGATCGATTGTTGTATTGTTTTTGATCTTGGGCTTTAAATTTGAAAGAATTGAGAATATTTAGAGACCTTTGTTTTTATAATTTATATCGTAAAAAGTCCTGGTGGTGGGTTCGAAACCTGGCAAGTACCAATATTATTTATTCGGATTTATAACTACTTTTTATGTGTTTAGACACCACTGACAGAATGTGAAGGAAAAGATCGTGACAAAACCTGGACTTATAATTTCAAATGATAAGTTTGAAATCGCCAATCCGCCTTGAGCGAGCGTGGTGATTAATGCTCTCACCTTCTCCATGTGAGAAGAGGCCTTTGCTCAGCAGTGGGCACCAATAGGCTGGTGATGATGATAATATAACATAAAAATGTTGCCATAGTTTGTCTCCATTGGCTAA